AAACAACAAGATAGAGTACAAGAGATTAAAGAAATGTAAACACCGGATGATTCCAAGTGCTGCCATGGGTACAGAATTATTGCTCTTGGAAACTGTGGTGTCTCTATGTATGTATATCACACAGAGGTCTGACAGAGGATAACTGTGGTGTCTGTATGTATGTCTCACTGAGGTCTGACAGAGGATAGCTGTGGTGTCTTTATGTATGTATATCACACAGAGGTCTGACAGAGGATAGCTGTGGTATCTCTATGTATGTCTCACTGAGGTCTGACAGAGGATAGCTGTGGTGTCTTTATGTATGTATATCACACAGAGGTCTGACAGAGGATAGCTGTGGTGTATCTATGTATGTATATCACACAGAGGTCTGACAGAGGATAGCTGTGGTGTCTCTATGTATGTATATCACACAGAGGTCTGACAGAGGATAACTGTGGTGTCTGTATGTATGTCTCACTGAGGTCTGACAGAGGATAGCTGTGGTGTCTTTATGTATGTATATCACACAGAGGTCTGACAGAGGATAGCTGTGGTGTATCTATGTATGTATATCACACAGAGGCCTGACAAAGGATAGCTGTGGTGTCTCTATGTATGTATATCACACAGAGGTCTGACAGAGGATAACTGTGGTGTCTGTATGTATGTCTCACTGAGGTCTGACAGAGGATAGCTGTGGTATATCTATGTATATCAAACAGAGACCTGACAGAGGATAGCTGTGGTGTATCTATGTATATATATCACACAGAGGTCTGACAGAGGATAGCTGTGGTGTCTCTATGTATGTATATCACACAGAGGTCTGACAGAGGATAGCTGTGTTGTCTCTATGTATATCACACAGAGGTCTGACAGAGGATAGCTGTGGTGTATCTATGTATGTATATCACACAGAGGTCTGACAGAGGATAGCTGTGGTGTCTTTATGTATGTATATCACACAGAGGTCTGACAGAGGATAGCTGTGGTGTCTCTATGTATGTATATCACACAGAGGTCTGACAGAGGAAAGCTGTGGTGTCTCTATGTATGTATATCACACAGAGGTCTGACAGAGGATAGCTGTGGTGTCTTTATGTATGTATATCACACAGAGGTCTGACAGAGGATAACTGTGGTGTATCTATGTATATCACACAGAGGTCTGACAGAGGATAGCTGTGGTGTCTCTATGTATGTATATCAAATAGAGGCCTGACAGAGGATAGCTGTGGTGTATCTATGTATGTATATCACACAGAGGTCTGACAGAGGATAGCTGTGGTGTCTCTATGTATGTATATCAAATAGAGGCCTGACAGAGGATAGCTGTGGTGTATCTATGTATGTATATCACACAGAGGTCTGACAGAGGATAGCTGTGGTATCTCTATGTATTTCACACAGAGGTCTGACAGAGGATAACTGTGGTGTCTCAATGTATGTATATAACACAGAGGTCTGACAGAGGATAGCTGTGTTGTCTCTATGTATATCACACAGAGGTCTGACAGAGGATAGCTGTGGTGTCTCTATGTATGTATATCACACAGAGGTCTGACAGAGGATAGCTGTGGTGTCTCTGTGTATATCATACAGAGGTCTGACAGAGGATAGCTGTGGTGTCTCTGTGTATATCACACAGAGGTCTGACAGAGGATAGCTGTGGTGTCTCTGTGTATGTCACACAGAAGTCTGACAGAGGATAGCTGTGGTGTCTCTATGTATGTATATCACACAGAGGTCTGACAGAGGATAGCTGTGGTGTCTCTGTGTATATCATACAGAGGTCTGACAGAGGATAGCTGTGGTGTCTCTGTGTATATCACACAGAGGTCTGACAGAGGATAGCTGTGGTGTCTCTGTGTATATCATACAGAGGTCTGACAGAGGATAGCTGTGTTGTCTCTGTGTATATCACACAGAGGTCTGACAGAGGATAGCTGTGGTGTCTCTGTGTATATCATACAGAGGTCTGACAAAGGATAGCTGTGTTGTCTCTGTGTATATCATACAGAGGTCTGACAGAGGATAGATGTGTTGTCTTTATGTATGTATATCACACAGAGGTCTGACAGAGGATAGCTGTGGTATCTCTATGTATGTCTCACTGAGGTCTGACAGAGGATAGCTGTGGTATATCTATGTATATCAAATAGAGGCCTGACAGAGGATAGCTGTGGTGTATCTATGTATGTATATCACACAGAGGCCTGACAAAGGATAGCTGTGGTGTATCTATGTATGTATATCACACAGAGGTCTGACAGAGGATAGCTGTGGTGTATCTATGTATGTATATCACACAGAGGTCTGACAGAGGATAGCTGCGGTGTCTCTGTAAGTCTTAAAGACATTAAGACATATTTGTGTTTTCGATACATTTGTTTAGTTAGAACATTTTTCTATTTGAATATTCAAATGGAACAATTTAGGAATTCCATCTTCCCTTAATATTTCTACAATGGTAACAAACAGTGATTAGTTGCATTTTCTGAAGTATATCTATGTTTATATGTGTAGGAAGAAAACAAACTGTATACAGATGGAGGTTTGCATCTCGTTATACCACAAGTTCAGAGAATTTACATGATATAGCATATATATATATATAGTATACTCGCATGTATATGGACCGTTACCATAGATACAATTTTCTGTAAATCTTACCATTAAACCCATGGTAGTGATTTCATACTATGGCAAATTTATGCCAATCGTTTCATTCCTGCACAAATAATAGTATTATTATTATCAGCCTCATTCAAATCATCAGAACCGTTCACCAGTACATCTAGATTAATGATTATGTCATATCTAGATAGTTTTCTGTATAGTGTATCACGACAGTCGTTGTATCTATTGCACTGAAAATTAATTAATGTGGTTATGGGGATGCTGCACCTATTCGTCTAGATTTTGACTTTTCTTTTTTGATCGCTTTTTCATTAGTTGCCGCCCAGTCTTCAAACGTTTAGCCCTTAGTATTAATGACAAGTCCTAGAAGGACAACACAGCTGTATGATGTAACATCACTGACAAGTCCTAGAAGGACAAAACAGCTGTATGATGTAGTATCACTGACAAGTCCTAGAAGGACCAAACAGCTGTATGATGCAGTATCACAGACGAGTCCTAGAAGGATGAAACAGCTGTATGATGTAACATCACTGACGAGTCCTAGAAGGATGAAACAGCTGTATGATGCAGTATCGCTGACGAGTCCTAGAAGGATGAAACAGCTATATGATGTAACATCACTGACGAGTCCTAGAAGGATGAAACAGCTGTGACAAGTCCTAGAAGGACCAAACAGCTGTATGATGCAGTATCACTGACGAGTCCTAGAAGGATGAAACAGCTGTATGATGTAGCATCACTGACGAGGCCTAGAAGGATGAAACAGCTGTATGATGTAGCATCACTGACGAGTCCTAGAAGGATGAAACAGCTGTATGATGTAGCATCACTGACGAGTCTTAGAAGGATGAAACAGCTGTATGATGTAGCATCACTGACGAGTCCTAGAAGGATGAAACAGCTGTATGATGTAGCATCACTAACGAAACAACTGTATGATGTAACATCACTGACGAGACCTAGAAGGACGAAACAACTGTATGATGTAACATCACTGACGAGTCCTAGAAGGATGAAACAACTGTATGATATAACATCACTGACGAGTCCTAGAAGGATGAAACAACTGTATGATGTAACATCACTGACGAGTCCTAGAAGGATGAAACAACTGTATGATGTAACATCACTGACGAGTCCTAGAAGGATGAAACAACTGTATGATGTAACATCACTGACGAAACAGCTGTATGATGTAGCATCACTGACGAGTCTTAGAAGGACGAAACAGCTGTATGATGTAGCATCACTGACGGGTCCTAGAAGGATGAAACAGCTGTATGATGTAGCATCACTGACGAGTCCTAGAAGGATGAAACAGCTGTATGATGTAGCATCACTGACGAGTCCAGTCCTAGAAGGATGAAACAGCTGTATGATATAGCATCACTGACGAGTCCTAGAAGGATGAAACAGCTGTATGATGTATCATCACTGACGAGTCCTAGAAGGACGGAACAGCTGTGTGATGTAACATCACTGACGAGTCCTAGAAGGACGTATGTATCATCACTGACGAGTCCTAGAAGGACGGAACAGCTGTGTGATGTAACATCACTGACGAGTCCTAGAAGGATGAAACAGCTGTATGATGTAGCATCACTGACGAGTCCTAGAAGGACGGAACAGCTGTATGATGTAGCATCACTGACGAGTCCTAGAAGGAACAGCTGTATGATGTATCATCACTGACGAGTCCTAGAAGGAACAGCTGTATGATGTATCATCACTGACGAGTCCTAGAAGGACAGAACAGCTGTATGATGTAGCATCACTGACGAGTCCTAGAAGGATGAAACAGCTGTATGATGTAGCATCACTGACGAGTCCAGTCCTAGAAGGATGAAACAGCTGTATGATATAGCATCACTGACGAGTCCTAGAAGGATGAAACAGCTGTATGATGTAGCGTCACTGACGAGTCCTAGAAGGAACAGCTGTATGATGTAACATCACTGACGAGTCCTAGAAGGATGAAACAGCTGTATGATGTAGCATCACTGACGAGTCCTAGAAGGATGAAACAGCTGTATGATGTAGCATCACTGACGAGTCCTAGAAGGATGAAACAGCTGTATGATATAGCATCACTGACGAGTCCTAGAAGGATGAAACAGCTGTATGATGTAGCGTCACTGACGAGTCCTAGAAGGACGGAACAGCTGTATGCTGCAGTTTGGTTCATTACTTGACTCTTCTATATCTAATTCTTAATTTGTATCAAAGGTGAAATTTAGTTTCTAACTTTTATACAATTATAAGGACACATGTATATACTATTTGTATATTTAAATGAAACTACCTTTAATGAAATACGACAAAAACCAAAGAAATCAGTGATGTCTTTATTCGTACAATAGAGATGACAGATCAAGTCAACCAATGACTTCTCCGGTAATGATACCATCAGAATACCTGTAATAAAACAAAGGATATTTATTAAATAAGAAAAAAATCTTAGTTCAAATTCCTATTATTAAAGAAATCTGGACGAAATGGACCCAGATACTTGTAAAAGGCACAGGGAAAATGAGATAAGGCATTCCGGTCGTGGATAATTCAATTAAGTGATGTCACGTTCCCAAATGAGAACAAGGGAAATAACAACGGAAACTACATATAAGTTGTGCTTGTTTTCGATGATAGAAAACCTGTTTCTCCTTGACTGTTAAAACAGATATATCTAGTATGCATGGCTGCAACATCACCAAACACGTCCATTCTCATACATAAGTTGTACTTGTGTCTGGCGATGGAAAACATTAACAGTTGGAACAAACCTTAAGTTGTGTTTGTATTTGAAGATGAAAAACCTGTTTATCGTTGAAAGTTTAAACAACCCTAGATGGAGGTTTGTCCTGCATATTACCTTCTCTAGGTTGTCAACATTTTCCTGGTTGATGGGGCCAATGAGCATGCTTACTCTTCTGGAATACTTGGATTTATCATCTTTGTACTTTTTGAAGAGTTTGCTCATGGTTCCGTGAGTCAATATTTTGCTCATGGTTCGTTGGTTTTTAGTTTTTGAAGTGTTTAAAGTTTGTAAATATTTTTTTCATGTTTAGCTAATTTGCCTTCATTTTATCAATTTCCAGTTTGAATTAAAATTGTTGACAATTTCTTCTGTTGTTTCTCTGCTTCTGACATTTGATATCTTGCTTAGCCTAGACATCAGAATCAGCTGTTTCTGAATTTTGCCAGTATTCCATTTTTTGGAAGAATCTGAGGTTTTTTTTCTACTGATGAACGTTGTTAATTTCGCAAGCTTTCGTTGACACAAGAAGTGTATTTCATTTTACATTAGTGGTGCCAAATCAATATCGATAGAATGAGTTCGATCTGACGTCATAAGTTCTTCCAAAATTAATATGCAGTGTTTGTCAATCGCTTGGATACATACGAATAATTGTTTTTGAAGGCTTGAATACATTTTCAGTCACTGTCACTTCAAGCTTAGATCAATCAGTCATGTTCACTAAATGCATGAAAATATTGCAGCTCTGATATCAACTCTAAAGAGCTGAAACTCTCTGTGATGAGACCTTCTAGTGTGATAAAAAAAACCCTCTGTGATGAGACCTCTAGTGTGATAAAAAAAACCCTCTGTGACGAGACCTCTAGTGTGATAAAAAACCCTCTGTGATGAGACCTCTAGTGTGATAAAAAAACCCTCTGTCATGAGACATCTAGTGTGATAAAAAAAACCCTCTGTGACGAGACCTCTAGTGTGATAAAAAAAATCCCTCTGTGATGAGACCTCTAGTGTGATAAAAAAACCCTCTGTGATGAGACCTCTAGTGTAATGAAAAAAACCCTCTGTGACGAGACCTCTAGTGTGATAAAAAGAAACAATCTGTGACGCGACCTCTAGTGTGATAAAAAAAACCCTCGGTGATGAGACCTAGTGTGATAAAAAAACCCTCTGTGATGAGACCTCTAGTGTGATGAAACCCTCTGTAATGAGACCTCTAGGGAGCTGAAATCCTCTGTAATGAGACCTCTAGAGAGATGAAACCCTCTGTAATGAGACCTCTAGAGAGATGAAACCCTCTGTGATGAGACCTCTACTGTGATGAAACCCTCTGAAATGAGATCTTTAGAGAGCTGAAACCCTCTGTAATGAGACCTCTAGAGAGTTGAAACACTCTGTAATGAGACCTCTAGAAAGCTGAAACCCTCTGTAATGAGACCTCTAGTGTGATAAAAAAACCCTCTGTGATGAGACCTCTAGTGTGATGAAACCCTCTGTAATCAGATCTCTACAGAGCTGAAATCCTCTGTAATGAGACCTCTAGAGAGATGAAACCCTCTGTGATGAGACCTCTAGTGTGATGAAACCCTCTGTAATGAGATCTTTAGAAGCTGAAACCCTCTGTGATGAGACCTCTAGAGAGCTGAAACATATTGTAATGAGACCTCTAGAGAGATGAAACCCTTTGTGATGAGACCTCTAGAGAGTTGAAATACTCTGTAATGAGACCTCTAGAGAGCTGAAACCTTCTGTAATGAGACCTCTAGAGAGATGAAACCCTCTGTGATGAGACCTCTAGTGTGATGAAACCCTCTGTAATGAGATCTTTAGAAGTTGAACCCCTCTGTGATGAGAACTTAAGAGAGCTGAAACCCTCTTAAATGAGAACTTAAGAGAGTGAAACCCTCTGTGATGAGACCTCTAGAGAGCTGAAACACTCTATAATGAGACCTCTAGAGAGCTGAAACCCTCTGTAATGAGACCTCTGGAGAGTTGAAACCCTCTGTGATGATACCTCTAGAGAGATGAAACCCTTTGAGATGAGACCTCTAGAGAGTTGAAACACTCTGTAATGAGACCTCTAGAAAGCTGAAACCCTCTGTAATGAGACCTCTAGTGTGATAAAAAAAACCCTCTGTGACGAGACCTCTAGTGTGATAAAAACCCCTCTGTGATGAGACCTCTAGTGTGATAAAAAAAACCCTCTGTCATGAGACATCTAGTGTGATAAAAAAAAACCCTCTGTGACGAGACCTCTAGTGTGATAAAAAAACCCCTCTGTGATGAGACCTCTAGTGTGATAAAAAACCCTCTGTGATGAGACCTCTAGTGTAATGAAAAAAACCCTCTGTGACGAGACCTCTAGTGTGATAAAAAAAACCAATCTGTGACGAGACCTCTAGTGTGATAAAAAAAACCCTCGGTGATGAGACCTAGTGTGATAAAAAAACCCTCTGTGATGAGACCTCTAGTGTGATGAAACCCTCTGTAATCAGAACTCTACAAAGCTGAAACCCTCTGTAATGAGACCTCTAGTGTGATGAAACCCTCTGTAATGAGACCTCTAGGGAGCTGAAATCCTCTGTAATGAGACCTCTAGAGAGATGAAACCCTCTGTAATGAGACCTCTAGAGAGATGAAACCCTCTGTGATGAGACCTCTACTGTGATGAAACCCTCTGAAATGAGATCTTTAGAGAGCTGAAACCCTCTGTAATGAGACCTCTAGAGAGTTGAAACACTCTGTAATGAGACCTCTAGAAAGCTGAGACCCTCTGTAATGAGACCTCTAGTGTGATAAAAAAAACCCTCTGTGATGAGACCTCTAGTGTGATGAAACCCTCTGTAATCAGATCTCTACAGAGCTGAAACCCTCTGTAATGAGACCTCTAGAGAGATGAAACCCTCTGTGATGAGACCTCTAGTGTGATGAAACCCTCTGTAATGAGATCTTTAGAAGCTGAAACCCTCTGTGATGAGAACTTAAGAGAGCTGAAACCCTCTGTGATGAGACCTCTAGAGAGCTGAAACATATTGTAATGAGACCTCTAGAGAGATGAAACCCTTTGAGATGAGACCTCTAGAGAGTTGAAACACTCTGTAATGAGACCTCTAGAAAGCTGAAACCCTCTGTAATGAGACCTCTAGTGTGATAAAAAAACCCCTCTGTGATGAGACCTTTAGTATGATAAAAAAACCCTCTGTGATGAGCCCTCTAGTGTGATGAAATCCTCTGTAATCAGATCTCTACAGAGCTGAAACCCTCTGTAATGAGACCTCTAGAGAGATGAAACCCTCTGTGTTGAGACCTCTAGTGAGATGAAACCTCTGTGATGAGACCTCTAGAGAGCTGAAACCCTTTGTAATGAGACCTCTAGAGAGCTGAAACACTCTGTAATTAGACCTCTAGAGAGATGAAACCCTTTGTGATGAGACCTCTAGAGAGCTGAAACCCTCTGTGATGAGACCTCTAGAGAGCTGAAACACTCTGTAATGAGACCACTAGAGAGCTGAAACACCCTGTAATTAGACCTCTAGAGAGATGAAACCCTTTGTGATGAGACCTCTAGAGAGCTGAAACCCTCTGTGATGAGACCTCTAGAGAGATGAAACCCGCTGTAATGAGACCTCCAGATAGCTGAAACCCTTTGTCATGAGAACTCTAGATAGCTGAGACCCTTTGTGATGAAACCTCTAGAGAGCTGAAACCCTCTGTAATGAGACCTCCAGATAGCTGAAACCCCTCGTGATGAGAACTCTAGAGAGCTAAAACCCTGTGTGGTGAGACCTCTAGAGAGCTGAAACCCTCTGTGATGAGACCTCTAGAGAGATGAAACTCTTTTTGAGGAGACCTCTAGAGAGCTGGAACCCTCTGTAATGAGACCTCTAGTGAGATGAAACCTCTGTGATGAGACCTCTAGAGAGCTGAAACACTCTGTGATGAGACCTCTAGAGAGATGAAAACCTTTGTGAGGAGACCTCTAGAGAGCTGAAACACTCTGTGATGAGACCTCTAGAGAGCTGAAACACTCTGTAATGAGACCACTAGAGAGCTGAAACACCCTGTAATTAGACCTCTAGAGAGATGAAACCCTTTGTGATGAGACCTCTAGAGAGCTGAAACCCTTTGTCATGAGAACTCTAGATAGCTGAGACCCTTTGTGATGAAACCTCTAGAGAGCTGAAACCCTCTGTGATGAGACCTCTAGAGAGATGAAAACCTTTGTGAGGAGACCTCTAGAGAGCTGAAACACTCTGTGATGAGACCTCTAGAGAGCTGAAACCCTCTGTGATGATACATCTAGAGAGATGAAACCCTTTGAGATGAGACCTCTAGAGAGCTGAAACCCTCTGTGATGAGACCTCTAGAGAGCTGAAACCCTCTGTAATGAGACCTCTAGAGAGATGAAACTCTTTTTGAGGAGACCTCTAGAGAGCTGGAACCCTCTGTAATGAGACCTCTAGAGAGATGAAACCCTCTGTGTTGAGACCTCTAGTGAGATGAAACCTCTGTGATGAGACCTCTAGAGAGCTGAAACCCTTTGTAATGAGACCTCTAGAGAGCTGAAACACTCTGTGATGAGACCTCTAGAGAGATGAAAACCTTTGTGAGGAGACCTCTAGAGAGCTGAAACCCTCTGTGATGAGACCTCTAGAGAGATGAAACCCTTTGTGATGAGACCTCTAGAGAGCTGAAACCCTCTGTGATGAGACCTCTAGAGAGCTGAAACCCTCTGTAATGAGACCTCCAGATAGCTGAAACCCCTCGTGATGAGAACTCTAGAGAGCTAAAACCCTGTGTGGTGAGACCTCTAGAGAGCTGAAACCCTCTGTGATGAGACCTCTAGAGAGATGAAAACCTTTGTGAGGAGACCTCTAGAGAGCTGAAACACTCTGTGATGAGACCTCTAGAGAGCTGAAACCCTCTGTGATGATACATCTAGAGAGATGAAACCCTTTGAGATGAGACCTCTAGAGAGTTGAAACACTCTGTAATGAGACCTCTAGAAAGCTGAAACCCTTTGTGATGAGACCTCTAGAGAGCTGAAACCCTCTGTGATGAGACCTCTAGAGAGCTGAAACCCTCTGTAATGAGACCTCTAGAGAGATGAAACTCTTTTTGAGGAGACCTCTAGAGAGCTGGAACCCTCTGTAATGAGACCTCTAGAGAGATGAAAACCTTTGTAATGAGACCTCTAGAGAGATGAAACCCTCTGTAATGAGACTTCTAGAGAGATGAAAACCTCTGTGATAAGACCTCTAGAGAGCTGAAACTCTCTGTGATGAAATGTCTAGACTCGTGAAACTCGCAATCATGTGAGATTTATCAGGACTTTATCTCTAACATGTGAGATTTATCAGGACTTTATCTCTAACATGTGTAGTAGTTTTGATACTTTAGAGAAACTGTGATACTCACTCAGCCTCACAAATGAAACTATCCTTGTCAGTACACTCTTCGTCATTCCAGTAGAGATTGAAATCGAATCTGATCTGCATACAGTTTTCTGTGCCGTCGTCGTTGTCAGGCTGGTTTGGTGCCCAGTGACTGAAACATAAATAGGTTACCTTGGTAACGGTACTAGTAACCATTTAACCATTGAATGTCCGTTAAATTGCATTTATTGTCAATATAAATGTCATGTAGACAAAATGACGTCCGTTATCATTGCGCCCTATTTAAACTACATATATAATCCCGTGAATGCATTTCAGATTAATAAAAAGTTATTGGGAGATCACAAAGCAAAATACAGATGTAACAGTTCTAGTTTTCATGGAACATTTTTTTTTAAAGAATATTCTAGGAGCACATTTAATGTAGTCTTCGATATTTTTGGTAAAATTATGAAGTAAAAAATCACTTAATTCACCGTCAAACTTGTTTTTCGTCAGATGCAACAAATCATCTGTTAAAGTACTTATGTAAAACAAGAAGAAGATATTAACATGTCAACATAATCAATGTCCACACTCATATTTAATCAAACTAGGTGGTACCAATATGTCAATACAATCATAATCCAAACTCAAATTCAATAAAACTAGGAAATACCATCATGCCAACATAGTCATAATCCAAACTCAAATTCAATAACACTAGGAAATACCATCATGCCAACATAATCATAATCCAAACTCAAATTCAATAACACTAGGAAATACCATCATGCCAACAGAGTCATAGTCCAAACTCAATTTTCATAAAACTAGGGCAACAACAACTAGAAAATGCCCACATGTCAACTTAGATATGATCGAAACTAACATTCTTATGGAGATTCCTGAGAGAAGGAGAATAAGACCAGGTGTTCGAACGAGAAAACGTCTTCTGCTTCATTGACGACACCTGCCATGTAACCGTTGTTAAATGTAAATAAGTAATGTAACGCTCTCAAAATGAGGACAAGGTATAAAACAGAACCAAAATGAATACCAGGAAATATATGTCCTGGTATTCTCCCGACGTAAGAGGGTCATACTGTTGAATTTAGACATCTAATGAACTAAAGATTATGAATTTTGAAAAGAAACGAAGTTGGTTTACTGGAGATAAGATTTGTCTCCTTAACAGCCAAGCAAAGTCCAGTCGAGTTCTAAAACATATTCATGATATAACCTGCAATAGATTCATAAAAATGATTTTTCAATTTTAATTGAATCGCTTATAATAGAACTGTTCTCTGATGCTTTCAAATCAACTAGAGCAAAATCATCTCCGTGTTTATTACGGTAAATAATAGTTTTGATGGATATCAGGTGTACATATCTGGAAAGTCTATCGTTAGATATGTAGGTAACTTATTGACTTACGTGTAGCCGGAGATAATTTGTGAGTAGCCAGGTGTTCCTACCCATCTCCACTCCCCTTCAAACAATTCGTCCGACCCATCTATCCAGTAGTTTTCAACCCTAGCACTCTCTGCAATTTCATTTGTTTATTACGGTGAAAATTATTTCAAACATCAAGTTAAATTTCAAAACCTCCAATTTGTTTTTCTAATCATCAAACATGACTTAATTTTATATCATTAAAAAAATTAAAAAAAGATAAAATCAAAATACAATAAAGAATGATACCCCATTTGTTAATTATTTATCATTTAAAATCGGTAGCAAATTATCGACTCTCCAAGTAAACCTCTTTGTAATGCAATTTTCATAATTCTAAAGCTGCAACATATTTCTGAGCTATATCTATCACTTATTTCCATATGTAAGTACTAAAGTAAGTGATATTAGGAACTTTACTGTTTTGTTTATATCCTTAGCACCTGTTTATGTGGAAGATATGCGGCGGACCTCCCGTATGTCGTTTGGTGAGGTAACCTCTATTACAAGGAGACTTCGCTTTACAATAGCCCTGGCTATTAAGGGGCGATAACTATATTAAATTATATACTCACTATTGGTATGTACATCATTCAGTACATTATCCAGCATTGCTTCTTCCTCTTGTGTTTCAATCTTCACTAAATCTCCACCGAAAACCTGGCAGTATTTCTGAAGGTCAAATTACATGATTTTGTCACTAGATCTGTACCAAGCAAATCAAAATTTTGCACAAAAAAAAACAAGTAAACAAAACAATAGTAATAAAAATTAAAAAAAGAAGATATTTACACCTTTCAATAAAACCAAATTCAATGCAGCAAGTGGAAATGATGAAATGAACTCATCAAACGGCGATTTCGTCTTTCATGTACTCGTCTGACGGACTAATAAAAATCCTAAATTATCGAAATGGATTTCAAAAGCAGACAGGCAGAGGCACTACGTTAAAATTAAACATCTTAAATATTCAAATTTTACGTCATTGAACATTAGCTTATTTCAAAAGTACCTGTCTTGTTTAGATATTCATCAAGGCTAGGTATTGAAGTTATTGGAATTGGACTATGGGCTATTTATGTACAACATAAAAGTGTTTTTTCTATCTAGAATTAATTTAGAACGATGTTTATGGGCACCGTCATTCACATAACGCGATTACAAACGGTGAAAAGCATTTATTTATTCATTAAAGATTTTGTAGTTTTTGATTTTCATGAATATCAAAGATTAGGTAAATCACCCGAAATTTAAACCACAGAAAAATGTAATATTTAGTTCAGTTCCAACATGTAAATTCAAATCGAATCAAATTACCACATGCATGACCTTGTATGATCTTCTAATGACCTTCACCTGAACAATGATGTATAATTCAGGTGTATATCAAGGTGCTAAGATGTGATCATACTCAATTGTCTCCAAGTTTCTCTTATAAAACTGCATCCACAACTTTTCGGTATGTATCACATATTGGCATATCTATATCGTGTACTTTTTTGTTTTCATTGCAGTTTGATGAAGAATAAGCCCAGACACTGAAATGATTTCATTGTCTTTAAGGTAAAGCTATTCAAATAAATTTCTCAAAAAATCCTGAAAGATATTATAATACTTAATTTTCTAGAATCACCAGATGTACGTTGAAATCATGGGCCTGCTTACCTTGGCGTCTATCCATGACACAGGTTCGAAGAAGACTTTGTAGCAACTTTCGCCGTACTGCTGAAAGTCTATCGGACATGCTCCTCGCGAACCTTCACAGAGCAAGGTAATAGCTATAGGCTCATTTCGGAACATTTTCTTCAGGTTGGTAATGTCAATAGAATATCTGTTCTTATAACAGAACCAGTAGAAGATTAGAATTTCGATGACTACACTGTCACCTTCATCAGACAAGTGACCAATGTGGAGCGTGCTGGCACTGACGTACGTAGTGTACGAAATGGTTAGGAATTCACAACTGTGTCGTATGTGCTATAATAATATGTGCAATAAGGTCAAAAATGGTGTGATGAGATGGTAAACAGATCAGACACAAGATGCACAAGATAGCAACAATGTACTGAAGTCAATTCGGCTACGCTTTGTTAACCATCTCGTACACTACGTATGACAGTGCTAGTACGCTCCACACTGGTAATTTATCTGATGAAGGTGACCGTGTTGATCTCGTACACTACGTACGTCAGTGCTAGTACACTCCACACTGGTCATCTGTCTGATGAAGGTGACCGTGTAAATCTCGTACACTACATACGTCAGTGTTAGTACGCCCCACACTGGTCATTCGTCTGATGTAGGTGACTGTGTAGTCACCGAAACATCATACTTAAATCCTCTTCTAGATGTGTTATAAGAACTACTATTCTAACAGCTATATGCTTGTTTTTTTGTTAGCTATGGAGGAGGGTAGGGTTCGTAAAAATCGCCGAAGATGTTAGAATGGTGTCCCTTTATAACGCTATCTCTAACAAAGCGACGTCTTATCTATACAATCCATCCCCTTGAAAAATGATGACATTATTCTTCTGTAAGGACACTCGGAAAAACGATGAAAGTGAACAACATTTTAACTCAAATTAAGAATTAGATACAGCAGGACCAAACATTGTACAAAAGACGCACAAGTGAATAGCACATTTATTACAAATTAAGAATTAGATACAGCAGGACCAAACATTGTACAAAAGACGCACAAGTGAATAGCACATTTATTACAAATTAAGAATTAGATACAGCAGGACCAAACATTGTACAAAAGACGCACAAGTGAATAGCACATTTATTACAAATTAAGAATTAGATACAGCAGGCAAACAGTACAAAAGACGCACAAGTGAATAGCACATTTATTACAAATTAAGAATTAGATACAGCAGGACCAAACATTGTACAAAAGACGCACAAGTGAATAGCACATTTATTACAAATTAAGAATTAGATACAGCAGGACCAAACATTGTACAAAAGACGCACAAGTGAATAGCACATTTATTACAAATTAAGAATTAGATACAGCAGGACCAAACATTGTACAAAAGACGCACAAGTGAATAGCACATTTATTACAAATTAAGAATTAGATACAGCAGGACCAAACATTGTACAAAAGACGCACAAGTGAATAGCACATTTATTACAAATTAAGAATTAGATACAGCAGGACCAAACATTGTACAAAAGACGCACAAGTGAATAGCACATTTATTACAAATTAAGAATTAGATACAGCAGGACCAAACATTGTACAAAAGACGCACAAGTGAATAGCACATTTATTACAAATTAAGAATTAGATACAGCAGGACCAAACATTGTACAAAAGACGCACAGGTGAATAGCACATTTATTACAAATTAAGAGTGACGTATTGTAGATACAGAAGAGCCAAACGATGAATTAAAATGCTTCATACCAAGAGTTATCTTAACAAGTGAATAGCACATTTATTACAAATTAAGAGTGACGTATTGTAGATACAGAAGAGCCCCCCCCCAAGAGTTATCTTTTTTTTTTTGGAATGGTAACATACTGTTTCCACATCCTATGGTGGGCTCCGTGTCAAGGTCGATATAGAGCTTATTCCCCTTAACATAGTTTTCGTGATAGACGTTGTTGACATCTGTCGAAAATACTTTCGGGAGATGCAGGCTTACAAAGGTTCGTTGTTTATGAACGCTATTATACGTATCAACAATAAGAATTCGCCTGTATACGATATGATGTTGGGCTGTTCGGACCTTGATATGTCCTGGAGTTATCAATGTAATAGATATGATTTACATGGAGGTTGTCGTCGATGAAACAGACGACGCTAACTCTTCCGAAACACCAGGTCCTATTCTAATTTTATTCTTTCATGAACTCTGAGTTAATCTTTCTTTTGTTCATATTTTGCCCTAGTTTTATTGAATTGGAATCATAATTATGTTGTTATTTTCTTGTTGTTTTTGAGGGCGTGTCATTAATTTGATTGACCTTAATTCATATGGTAGGCATCGTACATGAATCAGAAGAACTCTCTCAGTTTTTATATTCTTCACGTAAAATGCTCGTTGGTTAATATTTTGCCATCTTTTTTCAAATTTGAGTTTGACGTGCCTTTGTGCTGGCTTGTCGTTATTCCCTTGTTGTTTTTGAATATGTCACACGAAGGGTACAAATCAAAGTGGAAATATACTTATTAAACATATCGTGCTTAGTGCTAGAAAAAGCACACGATCTATTACAATAAGATAAATAGATAATCTTTTACATATTTTGTCTATTTTATCAAATTATTAAAAGATCCTCAGTATGAAGTGTGTAGCACTTTGTCTTCAATAATTTTTCTTAGCATAATTAAAGGCGACTGGGATCGTTGTTCGATTCTGGGCTTTTTTTCTTCAAAATCAGAAAAATTGCTTAGTCACGTGATAGTGGATTCTATAATTACCGCAAGCGTTTCTACGGTATTGTTGTACGAATAATGTTTTGGAGCTCTTCAGCCATGGAGTCATAAATACTAGTAGAGTCGTCGTATTGAACGCTGTATTTATATTTTTCTTGTTTGGTTTTCTTACTATTACTTCATAGCTGTAGTATTTATATCAAGTTGGCATGCCTTTGATTTCTCGAAAGTTCCTTTTTAGGTTTAAAAAAAGAAAAGAAGAAACGCACAAAGTTCCCCCCTGATGTATACCTTAGCTGTAAGAAAATAATGGAATATTTGGTCAGGTATTAAATAAAAAAACTTATTAAGAATTATCACCCTTCTTGACAATCTACCCTAAAATCAGCCAAGCGTGACGATGCCATTGTCTGAATTTGTGAGCGTCTTTAGTCCAAACCATGCCGCGTGATCAAGTCAAGCCGGATATTTTTTCAAACGAATAATTTCAACTGATACTCCAAGGTAAGCCATATTTCCCTTTCGCCATTTACCGAGACGTCACGCTTAATGCAAATTCAGAGAGATAGAGCAATTGCGATGCTGATGGATGGTCATAGCCAAAATACTGTCGCATGGCAGTTTGGCGTAGCCCCGTATTCAATTAGCCGTCTCTATATACGTTTCCATGCTACTGGGTTAGCTTCCAATCGTCGCAGGAGCGGTCGTCAGCGTGTTACGAACGCACAACAGGACAGGACGATTCAATCGTCGCAGTTAGTTGAGCAACAGATTATTAAAGACTGCTGCCGAGACTGCGTCTCATATCTAAGGTACTCATGGCAGACCCATTAGTGCTGAAACTGTCAAGAACCGCTTGCGTGCAAAGAGAATCATTGTGCGCCGACTTCTGACACCTTCGAGACGGCAGGTGCGTCTTGACTGGATGCACAGACATGGCCCGAATAGGTTTGGAATATGTTGGTGAAGGCATGTGATGTTCACCGACGAGTCTAGATTCTGTCTGCATCGCTAAAACGGAAGAAAAGGGGTATATCGTAGACGCTGTAAGCGTTTCGCCGACGCATGCGTGGTAGAACACAATAGATTCAGAGTCAGTGGGGCTTTTGTAATGGTTTGGGGCGGCATCTCCCATGGAGTAAAATCCCCCTTAATGGTCCTGGATCCAAATCTCAATGCTGTTAGATACAGAGACCAGATCCTCCAACCACAAGTCCTTCCACTTCTCAGACGTCATAACCTAATTTTCCAGCAATACAATGCTCGACCGTCTGTTGCCAGAGTCTGTCGCGATTTTCTCACGGCAAACAATGTTCAGTCTCTGGAATAGACCCCATATAGACCGACCTGTCTCCTATCGAGCATCTCTGGACAGACGTATTAGGAAATGTCAAAAAACCCAACTAACCGCGTCCTGTTCATTGACGCATTAACACAAGAATGAAACTACATTCTCTAAAGTCAAATTAATATTCTCATGAATTCAATGCATAGGAGAAGCCGCGCAGGGGTTCATGCAATAGGTGCTCACACCAGGTACTGAAGTGGCATTTTGGTTTTTCGCGGGTATCTCACTTCGAGTAGATACTGATGACAAGAGTGACGTCACCAAGACTTTTCTTCTACAGTGTTGTAAACAGCAGACTTGTCCCTTTACATTGATATAATAAAATTGCAAAATTTCCTAAAATATCATAGTCGATTAACTACATAATGTAATTGTGCGTTTCTTTTTTTGTCGAGTATATAAACCGTCCACCAGTCTACAATAGAATAGTTATATTTTACAAATTAAAACCATTTGTTCAAAGTTTATGGCATTCAACTTTTGATTTTTTTACCTTCAAATCAGAAGTACGATGTGTTCATTATAAAAACGTAAGTAAACTAAGCATTTCAGAGAATCTGCCTAAAGTGAAAGGAGGGAAAACAGCCTGCTGGGAAGTCCAGTAAATTATAAGGTTAATTTTCGCGAGGACATGATCGTTAATCTATATTTAAATATTGCTTAGGGTAGGGTAGGGATTATTGAGATTAATAAAAATAAAGATGGCAAATTCCCTACCTTGTAATCCGGCACATAACGCAAGGAAAAAAACGCACAGCTTCATGTTGACTGAATTGAGCTATTGGTGATCTCTAAAGGTAGTCCTTATCAACTGGGACTGCTTATCAGTACGATCTAGTGTTGATAGTCACCGACCTATCAAGCAACGGTTTACCAACACCTTTTCGGTAAACTTGTATTAAAATATCTTCAGTTATTGCTCGGGTTGGGATGTTTTGAAACATCATCTGATTTATATATATGTATTTGTATATAAGCCAAGAAAATACCAACATGACAAAAGAATCATAATCCAAATTCAAATTTAAAAAAAACTGGGATAAATATTAACAAAAGTAAGATTACACGTAAAAAGTACAAGGAGAGCAAGACCAGATCCTCCAGAAGAGTAAGCGTCTCCTCCTTCATCAACGACATCTACGATGTAAATCATGGTCAAATGATGAAAAAGTATACATCAATTATATACAAACACCTTTCCAGTATTAAAATTACTTCTGATAAGTTTTTGCGCGAGACGAAATGCGTTGAAATTTGGCGTAAGTGCACATTTCAACCAATGTGGATTTTTACTATTTCGCCTCCAAGAATTTCATCATTTTGGTTCGTCAATGACAAAATGATACTTTGTGTCTCGATAAAGGGGGCGGATTGTCTAAAAAATTGACAATTTATTTATCAGCACTGTAATTATTACGTCATTGATTATATTGGAATAAATATGTATAAACATAATTTGAATTGGAATCACACACGGTCAAGACAACAATTGAATTCGAAATAAAGAATAACAAGAAAATACAGACATGTGAAAAGAATCATAAACTAAGCTTAAAAAATCTCGAGCAAAATATGAAGGAAGGCAAGATTTACACGAATACTCCTGAGAAAGTACATGGATGATAAAACCAGGTGTTCCAGAAGAGTAAGCGTCGACGATAACCGCCATGTTAATATTGGTCAATAGTTAGTAATATGCAACGTTTGCAAATGAGAATACAACAACGGAACCAACAAGGAAACTAACATGATATGACAATTATGGTGAGGTATTTGAAATCTTTTCCCCCTGTTTATAGATAGTATGATCATATACTATCATCTGTGGCGTAAAGTGGTTGTTATGGTATACACATCTAGTTCAGTACATTTGACAAGATGCAATGAAGACATGTTCCCCGAGCTAAAGAGTGTTACATTGAACCAGGAAATCAGGACGAGAGCTCACAGAAAATGCAACAGAATATTTTAATAATGAACGTTTCCTGAAATCGGAGAAACAACTAGTCTATTCATATGCAGAGGAAGGAGGTTAATCGTTCCAGATAAACAGATATCATTGACGCAAAATGTTGCTTTTTAAGTCCGAGCTATTTCTGGTATTTTTTGTCTAGTTCTACACGTTTCTTGAAATCATAAGAATTAGACATTGTACATAGGTTTGTGTTATAAGTACCTGACAAAGGTGACCTATTAACATAATTGTGATTGAGACAAATAGATAAAATATATTAATGGATATATGTATGTATGTATATATATATATATATATCTTTGAATAAAAATGAATGAATAAATGAATTATATAATGAACACAAAGCCTTTGTATTACGCTGAGAAAGTTTCTCACTGGTAAGGAAATGAATTGGAGTTTATGTTAATTGGAGTTTAGATTGGGAGGGTGGGGAATGATTTTGTGTTTGTCTTGTTTGTTTTACGGGTTTTAACGGTTAACCAGCCAAGGTCACATTACCGTGTATTTCATTTTCACCCAAACATATATTTTATTGCCATAATCATCAGCAAAATGATTGAGCTCAAGTTCTTAAAACATTAATTAAGCCCTCTCTCAAACAAATTACTTTTACAGAATTTAGTAAACAAACAGGTCACGAACCTAAACTTATAAACAAACACATACAGGAAAGTAACATTGATCTCTGAACATAGAAATCAAATTTGACTTATTGTAATTAAAAATATTCTGCTAGATTGAATGAAATTGTGCACATTTCTAAATATCGTTACAATAGTGTCAACAGGCAGATTTTCATTTCGAGAAAGAAGGAAGTCTAAATTAAAAAACAAGGCTAGACTACAAGACTAATTAATAGTGATTCGTTAATCAGACTAATTTGTTGGACAGCTTTCACCTTAGTTTAGATATTAGGCAGAGTTATCAGCTAAATTTTTATGATTGAGTGTTGATATGATTTAGGTCATCTTAGAGGGACTAAACAGCTGCCCTGGAATTTAATGATTAGTCATGACTTGGTTACGTTGATAAACATTGCCTTATCAGCGAGTGAATTTTACTTTATCAAAGCCAATTCAATTCGACAATGCTTACGATTGTATGTTTACTATTTTCTTATTTTGCGGGTAAGTGATTGTTTGTAATTTGTCATTTAGACATACTGATATTAATTGTGAAACGTTAACTTTGCCCAGCAATTGATAGTTATGAATAATTTCTTTGTGTGAAGCTCGACATATTTTATGCTCAATAGTTTGCCTGTTGGTTCCATTTTTATATATCTTGTTCTTGAGAACGTGACATTATTACTTGGATTGACTAAGGTTTGCATGGCGAGTGTTATCGATGAAGCAGAAGATTCTTACCCTTTCGCAACACCTGGTCTTATTCTCATTATACTTTTTCAGGAGTCTCCGTGTAAATCGTGTTGCCATGTTGGTATTTTCTTATTTTAGTACAGTCTTAGGCTATAACATGTCCTTTTATTTATGTCTCACTCTTAAATTAGGTGATTTATAGAAATATATTTAACATGTATCTCGGTGTGTTTACATAATAAATATGGTGATTTATAGAATTATATTTAACATGTAACTCGGTGTGTTTACATAATAAATATGGTGATTTATAGAGCTATATTTAACATGTAACTAAGTGTGTTTACATAATAAATATGGTGAGTGGACAGTGATATTAAGGGGATTCTATACGAGTGGACAGTGTATTAAGGTAATTCTATACGAGTGGACAGTGATATTAAGGGAATTCTATACGAGTGGGCTGTGATATTAAGGGAATTTTATACGAGTGGACAGTGATATTAAGGGAATTCTATACGAGTGGGCTGTGATATTAAGGAAACACTGTACGAGTGGACAGTGATATTAGTGGAATTTTGTACGAGTGGTCAGTGATATTAAGAGAATTCTGTACGAGTGGACAGTGATATCAACGGAAACACTTTACGAGTGGACAGTGATATTAAGGGAATTCTGTACGAGTGGATAGTGATATTAAGGGAATTCTGTACGAGTGGACAGTGATATTTAGGGAATTCTGTACGAGTGGACAGTGATATTAAGGGAATTCTGTACGAATGGTCAGTGATATTAAGGAAACACTGTGCGAGTGGTCAGTGATATTAAGGGAATTCTGTACGAGTGGACAGTGATATTTAGGGAATTCTGTACGAGTGGACAGTGATATTTAGGGAATTCTGTACGAGTGGACAGTGATATTAAGGGAGTTCTGTACGAGTGGACAGTGATATTAAGGGAATTCTGTGCGAGTGTTCAGTGATATTAAGGGAATTCTGTGCGAGTGGACAGTGATATTAAGGGAATTCTGTACGAGTGGACAGTGATATTTAGGGAATTCTGTACGAGTGGACAATGATATTAAGGGGATTCGCTTAGAGTAGTCGAGTGGAGAGTGATATTAAGGGAGTTCTGTACGAGTGGACAGTGATATTAAGGGAGTTCTGTACGAGTGAACAGTGATATTAAGATAATTCTATACGAGTGGACCGTGATATTAAGGACACACTGTACGAGTGGACAGTGATATTAAGGGAATTCTATACGAGTGGGCTGTGATATTAAGGAAACACTGTACGAGTGGACAGTCATATTAAGGGAATTCTGTACGAGTGGACAGTGATCTTAAGGGAATTATGTACGAGTGGACAGTGATCTTAAGGGAATTCTGTACGAGTGGTCAGTGATATTAAGAGAATTCTGTACGAGTGGACAGTGATATTAACGGAATTCTGTACGAGTGGTCAGTGATATTAAGGAAACACTGTGCGAGTGGTCAGTGATATTAAGGAAACCCATTACGAGTGATCAGTGATATTAAGGGAATTCTGTACGAGTGGACAGTGATATTAAGGGAATTCTGTACGAATGGACAGTGATATTAAGGGATCACGGTACGAATGGACAGTGATATTAAGGGAATTCTGTGCGAGTGTTCAGTGATATTTAGGGAATTCAGTACGAGTGGACAGTGATATTTAGGGAATTCTGTACGAGTGGACAGTGACATCAAGGGAATTATGTACGAGTGGACAGTGATATTAAGGGAATTCTGTACGAGTGGTCAGTGATATTTAGAGAATTCTGTACGAGTGGACAATGATATTAAGGGGATTCGCTTAGATTAGTCGAGTGGACAGTGATATAAAGGGAGTTCTGTATGAGTGGACAGTGATATTAAGGGAGTTCTGTATGAGTGGACAGTGATATTAAGGGAGTTCTGTATGAGTGGACAGTGATATTAAGGGAGTTCTGTATGAGTGGACAGTTATATTAAGGGAGTTCTGTATGAGTGGACAGTGATATTAAGGGAGTTCTGTATGAGTGGACAATGATATTAAGGGGATTCGCTTAGAGTAGTCGAGTGGAGAGTGATATTAAGGGAGTTCTGTACGAGTGGACAGTGATATTAAGGGAGTTCTGTACGAGTGAACAGTGATATTAAGATAATTCTATACGAGTGGACCGTGATATTAAGGACACACTGTACGAGTGGACAGTGATATTAAGGGAATTCTATACGAGTGGGCTGTGATATTAAGGAAACACTGTACGAGTGGACAGTCATATTAAGGGAATTCTGTACGAGTGGACAGTGATCTTAAGGGAATTATGTACGAGTGGACAGTGATCTTAAGGGAATTCTGTACGAGTGGTCAGTGATATTAAGAGAATTCTGTACGAGTGGACAGTGATATTAACGGAATTCTGTACGAGTGGTCAGTGATATTAAGGAAACACTGTGCGAGTGGTCAGTGATATTAAGGAAACCCATTACGAGTGATCAGTGATATTAAGGGAATTCTGTACGAGTGGACAGTGATATTAAGGGAATTCTGTACGAATGGACAGTGATATTAAGGGATCACGGTACGAATGGACAGTGATATTAAGGGAATTCTGTGCGAGTGTTCAGTGATATTTAGGGAATTCAGTACGAGTGGACAGTGATATTTAGGGAATTCTGTACGAGTGGACAGTGACATCAAGGGAATTATGTACGAGTGGACAGTGATATTAAGGGAATTCTGTACGAGTGGTCAGTGATATTTAGAGAATTCTGTACGAGTGGACAATGATATTAAGGGGATTCGCTTAGATTAGTCGAGTGGACAGTGATATAAAGGGAGTTCTGTATGAGTGGACAGTGATATTAAGGGAGTTCTGTATGAGTGGACAGTGATATTAAGGGAGTTCTGTATGAGTGGACAGTGATATTAAGGGAGTTCTGTATGAGTGGACAGTTATATTAAGGGAGTTCTGTATGAGTGGACAGTGATATTAAGGGAGTTCTGTATGAGTGGACAGTGATATTAAGGGAATTCTGTACGAGTGGACAGTGATATTAAGGGAGTTCTGTATGAGTGGACAGTGATATTAAGGGAGTTCTGTATGAGTGGACAGTGATATTAAGGGAATTTTGTATGAGTGGACAGTGATATTAAGGGAGTTCTGTATGAGTGGACAGTGATATTAAGGGAGTTCTGTATGAGTGGACAGTGATATTAAGGGAGTTCTGTATGAGTGGACAGTGATATTAAGGGAGTTCTGTATGAGTGGACAGTGATATTAAGGGAATTCTGTATGAGTGGACAGTGATATTAAGGGAGTTCTGTATGAGTGGACAGTGATATTAAGGGAGTTCTGTATGAGTGGACAGTGATATTAAGGGAATTCTGTACGAGTGGACAGTGATATTAAGGGAGTTCTGTATGAGTAGACAGTGATATTAAGGGAATTATGTACGAGTGGACAGTGATATTAATGGAGTTCTGTATGAGTGGACAGTGATATTAAGGGAGTTATGTATGAGTGGACAGTGATATTAAGGGAATTCTGTACGAGTGGACAATGATATTAAGGGAGTTCTGTATGAGAGGACAGTTATATTAAGGGAGTTCTGTATGAGTGGACAGTGATATTAAGGGAATTTTGTATAAGTGGACAGTGATATTAAGGGAATTCTGTATGAATGGACAGTGATATTAAGGGAATTCTGTATGAGTGGATATTAAGGGAGTTCTGTATGAGTGGACAGTGATATTAAGGGAATTCTGTATGAGTGGACAATGATATTAAGGGAGTTCTGTATGAGTGGACAGTGATATTAAGGGAATTCTGTACGAGTGGACAGTGATATTAAGGGAGTTCTGTATGAGTGGACAGTGATATTAAGGGAGTTCTGTATGAGTGGACAGTGATATTAAGGGAATTCTGTACGAGTGGACAGTGATATTAAGGGAGTTCTGTATGAGTGGACAGTGATATTAAGGGAGTTCTGTATGAATGGACAGTGATATTAAGGGTATTCTTTTTGAATGGTTAGTAGGAAATCCTCTTGGAGTGGTCATAATTCTTTTAAGACCAACACGTTACTAAGATCACTAGTCGAGTTCTCCATGTTTTTGTAGTACCTAAGTTTCGCTGTATATAGAATTTCACGTGAAACGAAAACCTCACGCGCTATGTTTACGTTAATAGGTGTTTTTTGTACCTGTCCGTACGGGTTCAGTGTTCACGGGGATTCATGCTATATGGTAGTCGGACTGAATTCAACATGGATAGAGGCCAAGGTAGGAACAGGTAGCGTTATATATCATATATACAAGTTTAATGATATATATGCTCCATATTGTAATTTGTATAGGCTTTATTAAGAAAGCAAGAAAATGTTAAAATATCAAAACTTCAAGATAAATGAAGAAGAATGGATGACTATAACAAATATCATCCAAGCACATGTAAAGATACACATGGAAATACACGTGCATTGTATGTAATGAATGTATTGAAGTTTTGAAAATTTACCCAGTTTCGAAAATATGTGTTGACTCTATTTTAAAATCATAGTCACTTTATGTTATTACATTTAACTTGATTTCTTGATTTCTGTAGAAATACTGTGACGTGTTAGGGGGTGACTTGGCTGTGGTAGAGTCGGCAGAAGAGGAGGGGTACATAGTCAACTTGCTGAAACAGATCGACAGCGCAGGTATGGGAACCTAGTGATCCAAAAATACGCGAAATTATAAAAATGGATGTTGCTTGGATTGTCATTTGAACACAACATGATGATGTCAATGAGACATTACGTGATGGTACAACAGGGTTAATTAGTCATCACGTGATGGTACAACAGGGTTAATGAGTCATCACGTGATGGTACGACAGGGTTAATGAGTCATCACGTGATGGTACAACAGGGTTAATGAGTCATCACGTGATGGTACGACAGGGTTAATGAGTCATCACGTGATGGTACAACAGGGTTAATGAGTCATCACGTGACGTTTGGACAGTGTCGATGAGACACACTTGTTAGTATGATATTGTCAATGAGACACACTTGTTAGTATGATATTGTCAATGAGATACCACGTGATGGTTTTATCATGTGAAATGAGGTACCACATAAAGGCGTAATAGAGGTCATGAGACACACATCAAGTGACATATCACTTCATGATTTTGCATTGTCAATTTAACATGAAGTGGGCTTATTTGAAGATTACAATTGAAAATCATGAGAAGGAATGAGCTGTACCGATTGGACATATCGAGCAAGGCGTCGCCTTCGTTATTTCTAATATAGAATTAGCAGTATGGAGACGTTACGTAACACTGTACAGACGAATCCATAGTCAGCTGTGTGCTGTTACACCGCTATAAGAGAGAAGTCTATTTTTGACATGTAACCATTGTTATACCGCTGTAAGAGAGAGGTCTGTTTTTGACATGTTACCATTGTTATACCGCTATAAGAGAGAAGTCTATTTTTGACATGTTACCATTGTTATACCGCTATAAGAGAGAAGTCTATTTTTGACATGTCACCATTGTTATACCGCTATAAGAGAGAAGTCTATTTTTGACATGTAACCATTGTTATACCGCTGTAAGAGAGAGGTCTGTTTTTGACATGTTACCATTGTTATACCGCTATAAGAGAGAAGTCTATTTTTGACATGTTACCATTGTTATACCGCTATAAGAGAGAAGTCTATTTTTGACATGTCACCATTGTTATACCGCTATAAGAGAGAAGTCTATTTTTGACATTTCACCATTGTACTTCGAAATGTATGGTATTTTCAATTTTTCGGTGGTTTATTTCCCGTTTGTAAATTTTCAATATTTTAATTTTTCTTTTTTTTTTTCGACAAAATGACAGGTTCAGACTAAACAAAAAATTACTAAAAAAAGTTCAAGGTAATACGTGATGTATTTGATCAATGAATAATAAATAGGTCAATGTGCTCGATTTCTTTTAACGCTATCGGAGTTTGTTATCTGTGTCAAGGTGGAAGGGTCCTAAACGGGAACAGCGATCTTCTACATATAACCAACATGATAGTGTGAAGGTTTTCTCCATAAATAGTCAGGGTTATTTAACGTTATTAATAGCACGAGAGGTCCAATAGTTTTTAATGTACAACAGTGTGAAGGTTTTCTCCGTAAATATTTGGGTTTAGTAGAGGTCGTTATAAAAACCGAGGGGTTATGGGGAGTGATTAAGGGAATCTCAAAGTTTTCCATTTCAAAGAAGGTATGAAAACGAGGGGTTGGATGACTATCTACGGAATTAATTAATTACATGATGTTGAAAATTTGTGATGTATTCATTAAATATAAATGACGTTTTGGTAGTAAAGTTTATGGTTTTGTAACAGTGATTCTATGAATTTGGTTCTATTGTTTGATATTATTTATCACCTCATTATGAAACCCCTGAAACAATCTTTCCTTTAATGTTGTGCAATTGTGCAACATAGACCTTGACATCGGATGGACTGTCATAAAAATAACTATAAACTTTATTTATTTTAAAACAAGTTGTTTCAATTTCTACTAATCACTCTTGTTGGCCCGGAGGGTCTTATTGTTGGAGGAAACCTGAGTACTCGGGAAAAACCCTTACCTTTCCACGTCCGTTCAAGGAGTCGAACCCCGGACGGCTAGTTGAAAGGCGACTTTGATAAGTTTACAACGTCCACTTAATAGTATAAATTGTTACATACTCGTAAAATTATGTTCTCACATTGTCCTCTCATACAAATACAAATATTTCTGAATTTAAAAAAAAGCTGATATCAAATGCTCCTTCTGGCCCTGATTTAAGCGCGCGAGGGGCCTTACTGTGGGAGGAAACCAGGGAAAGCCACGTGATCGGGCAGGTGAACCCTTTCTTTTTCATGTCCGGTTGTGGTAAACGATCTGGGATGTCCAGGCAAAATGCGACTGCGTTAGCAGCGCGCTACCAGATATATCAAGTAGCTTGTCCTTGTTTAACTAGAGTAGTTATTGATACTGCTGGTTTATTAAAACACTTGAGAATTTGGTTACAGACAAAATTAAGACCAATCATCCCGAAAGTATTAACTTCTTTTCTTAACTATTACATCTTTAATCAAACAAAGGTTATGTCACTTAGTAGTGTTACCTGAAGTTTGACAGAAAAGTTTGAAGACAGCATTCAACTCTTAAATCTGAGTCAGTTTCCTTTCTGAAACCACAGCCCTTGTGTCGTAAGAGGTTAATCCTTCCTCCTTCTGAAGCCACAGCCATTGTATCATAAGGGGTTAATCCTGCCTCCTTCTGACACCACAGTCCTTGTGTCATAAGGGGTTAATCCTGCCTCCTTCTGAAGCCACAGCCCTTGTGTCATAAGGGGTTAATCCTGCCTCCTTCTGACACCACAGTCCTTGTGTCATAAGGGGTTAATCCTGCCTCCTTCTGACACCACAGTCCTTGTGTCATAAGGGGTTAATCCTGCCTCCTTCTGACACCACAGTCCTTGTGTCATAAGGGGTTAATCCTGCCTCCTTCTGACACCACAGTCCTTGTGTCATAAGGGGTTAATCCTGCCTCCTTCTGAAGCCACAGCCCTTGTGTCATAAGGGGTTAATCCTGCCTCCTTCTGACACCACAGTCCTTGTGTCATAAGGGGTTAATCCTGCCTCCTTCTGAAGCCACAGCCCTTGTGTCATAAGGGGTTAATCCTGCCTCCTTCTGAAGCCACAGCCCTTGTGTCATAAGGGGTTAATCCTGCCTCCTTCTGACACCACAGTCCTTGTGTCATAAGGGGTTAATCCTGCCTCCTTCTGACACCACAGTCCTTGTGTCATAAGGGGTTAATCCTGCCTCCTTCTGACACCACAGTCCTTGTGTCATAAGGGGTTAATCCTGCCTCTTTCTGAAGCCACAGCCCTTGTGTCATAAGTGGTTAATCCTGCCTCCTTCTGACACCACAGCCCTTGTGTCATAAGGGGTTAATCCTGCCTCCTTCTGAAGCCACAGCCCTTGTGTCATAAGGGGTTAATCCTGCCTCCTATATATGAGAAATGTGTCCTACCTAACGATCCACGTCGCCAGAGAATTGACTCACGTCGATTGGACAATGTCCGACTACGGGCAGAGTCACGGAGACGAGAAACCTTTATCATCAGTCCTAACGATATTACGAAAGGAATTGCATTTGTGGCCCAGGCCTTCTGTTTGCCTCAATTGATTCAGAAATATTTCTTCCAATGATCCTTTGTCACTTCATGTTACAATATGGCCCCCTTACTGCCATGTCAGAGTTTTGGCAAGGTCGAAAAATAACAACCCTTTGTTGGCCACCTATTCTTAACATTCTCATCAATTTTAGCTGAGTGGCGGCACCAGTGGAACAGGAGAAAAGGTGTTTTTCAAGATGGCGGCCATGGCGGCCAACACCGACCTAAAAATAACAACATTTGGTTAGAACTCTCTCAGGATCATTTCATGCAAGTGTAAGCTTGTTCCCATTGGTGGAACTTTAGAAGAAATTTAAAATGTCAAAAGTTTACGCACCTTCGGACGGCGGACGACTGCGGACGAAACACAATGGTTATAGGTCACCCTTGTGGTCAGATGACCTAAATACTATTCTATTATTATCTAACATATTATTTTCCATATACCACCATACCCATTACTTAATGAAGGAATGCCTTCGTTCTTCGTTATGACAACTTTCTTCTCAAAAAGGTGAACTCCGATACAAATACATGGGTATGAAGTACATGTGTTCTGAAACGAATTTTGAGAAGAATACGTACAAATTAAAGAAGAAATTGCTAAAATGATCGAATTTCAGGATGACAGTTAGATAATATAACAGTCTATAATTCTCTATGGGAACAAAGTATGTGTCTCTTTTGGCTGATTTATCTATGCTTTCATTTAATGTGCATTGCTGAATTTCAAACCTGGTTACAAAGACCTTGCGAAGTCCTTCAGTTTCAATATCAGATTTTAAAACAACAAACAAAAATAAACAAAAAATTGGAAAAGTTCCTTCGTATCTGTCTACTGTGACTGGAAATCAAGGGTGTTACAGAACTAAATTGGTGGATTACTTACCATCTCGTCACACTTTTTTCTACCTTAGTGTACGTAGGAGTATTGTATAGCCGAAAAAGTTGGTCGAATCCTTACCATCTCGTCACACTATTTTCTACCTTACTGTACATAGGAGTATTGTATAGCCGAAAAAGTTGGTCGAATCCTTACCATCTCGTCACACTAATTTCTACCTTACTGTACATAGGAGTATTGTATAGCCGAAAAAAGTTGGTCGAATCCTTACCATCTCGTCACACTATTTTCTACCTTACAGTACATAGGATTATTGTATAGCCGAAAAAGTTGGTCGAATCCTTACCATCTCGTCACACTAATTTCTACCTTACTGTACATAGGAGTATTGTATAGCCGAAAAAGTTGGTCGAATCCTTACCATCTCGTACACTGCATACGTCAGTGCTAGTATGCTCCACTAGGGCATTTGTCTGATGAAGGTGACCGTGTAGACATCGAGACGTCACACTCTAATCTTCTACTGGTTGTGTTATAAGATGGAGGTGACCGTGTAGATATCGGAACGTCACACTCTTTGCAGATTTTGAAACTATGAACTTATGTTTTTGTTGGTTCTTCTCATGAAAATGTTTGTAATTTTGTTTATTTTGTGTCTCCACCCCATTGTTTACATGTATCAACATTATCATATATTGTCCCCCGTGCACTGCATGTACCACATGACGCTGTATCATTTAGATACTGGATAATGATTTATCAATACTTATCTAAGCAATCGGTGCATGTTGTGCTTGGGAAAAATAGATTATATTGTACATATATATTATCTCATATATTTTCTGGGATACTTTGTTCATATGCTCTAACAATTTTTGAAAAACATGTCAATTTCAATTATATTTTAATATCTTTGTTACTGAGTAATGATGTTGAATTAAACCCTGGTCCTCTGCGCAATCTTCAAATCTCTCATCTGAACGTAAGATCTATTAGAAATAAATTAGATATATTAGATAACGAGCTCTCTGAAAAAGATATATTATGTTTTACTGAAACCCACCTTAATCCCTTAATATCAGACAATGATCTTATTTTAGATAATTTTTCACATGATTTTTACAGAAGAGATAGACGATTTGGTTTTGGTGGTGGAATTATTATATATGTTAAAGAAAATGTGGTAAGCAGGCGAAGACGGGATCTAGAACATGATGACATTGAAATTATTTGGATTGAAGTTCAAATAGAAAATAATAAATTACTACTGGGATGCATTTACAGACCTGAAACTACAATTGAATATTGGGGAAAGGTAGATGATATGTTTGATAAAGTTTTTGATGAAAATGTAACTGACGTAATTTTAACAGGAGATATTAATGTAGATATGATGGCCCTTCAGCCACACTCTCACTGGTCAACTTTACAAAATATAAAAAGTTTGATAAATGAACCAAAGAAATCGACATCATTCTTCACAAAAAAGCTGTTAACTCTAATTTTCCTACCATAAATAAACAAATCGAGGAACATGTACCCCATCGCATAGTTACAATACGGCCAAACGATAAACCCTGGTTCACAAATACTATTAGATTAAAAATAAGACAAAGAAATCGCATTCACAAAAAAGCTGTTAACTCTAATTTTCCTACCCCTGATAAATGGTGGAAGATTGCCAAATCTTTACTAAAAACAAACAATAAGCAAGCAAGTATTCCTCCACTTACCGAAAATGGCTCTGTGCTTCAACATCCATTTGATAAAGCAGAATGTCTTAATACATACTTTTCATCTATCTCTACCTCTTCAAATGATCTTGGTCCTCTGCCTCCTCCACCAGATTTCCCTTTCAAGTTAGATAACATCGTGTTCTCCCAACAGGATATAACCGACCAACTCTCTGCTCTTAATGGAAAAAAACCTGCAGGTCCGGATGGAATTGTTCCAAAATTTATCAAACTTTTAGCACCCTCTATTACTCTCCCTCTTACTCTTCTTTGTAATAAAACTATGACTACTGGCTCTATCCCATTACCTTGGAAAACTGCTAACATCAATGCTATTTATAAAGGGAAAGGCGGGGAAAATGAAGTTTCAAACTATCGTCCCATCTCAGTTACTTCCTGTTTCAGCAAAATAATAGAAAAGGTTATTTTCAAATATTTATACAACTATCTTCGGCAATGTGAAATTATTTCTAAACACCAATCTGGTTTTATTCCAGGAGATTCAACCGTGAATCAGTTGTTATCGATTTATCACAATATCATGAATTCTTTAGATAAAGGACAAGAAGTACGATCTATATTCTGTGATATAAGTAAGGCCTTTGATAGAGTGTGGCATGAAGGGTTACTATATAAACTTGAATCGTACGGTATCAAAGGTAATTTGCTTAATTGGTTTACTAACTACTTATCACAAAGAAAACAACGGGTTTTAACTGAGGGTATATTTTCAACCTATAAATCTGTAAATGCCGGCGTCCCACAAGGGTCAGTTTTAGGCCCGTTTCTATTTCTTATATATATATAAATGATATTTCAGATATAGTGACCAGTGACATTAAATTATTTGCAGATGATACGTCCTTAAGTGAAATTGTTGACAATAATAATATTGAAGTAGCAAATAAAATTTCAGATAATATGTTGAATATAAGTAATTGGGGTAAGAAATGGGATATAAACTTTAATCCCACAAAAACAGTCTCTATGATTTTTACCAGGAAGAGAGAATCAGTACACCCACCTATATTTTTTGATAACACTCCTGTATACTGAACCACTAGAATTTTTAATATTCCTATTTGTCGAACAACTAGCTATTTTAGTAGTTTTTTCCCGAGTACATTTAGAGAATTTAATGCTTTCGCTCATAACTTTGATTTATCAAATGTACATTCAAAATCGCAATTTAAATCTTTATTATTCAATAAAGACGAAATTGCCAGTGATACAACTGAAATTTTCAAAAAGGGTGGTAACCGAAAAATAAATATAATTATGTGCCAACTGAGAAACGAGGCTAGTAATTTGAAATCTGACCTTTTTATTGATCATTTAAATGATTCACCACTGTGTTCATGTAATACTGGACAGGAATCTGCAGAACATTACTTTATGACCTGTCCACTTTATAACCATTCAAGAATTATTCTGCAAAATCAGTTAATAAACCAAAATATTACTCATGATCACTATAATGTTAATGTTTTGCTTCATGGATGTCACGAATGCAGTAACGAAATAAATGTTTCTTTATTACAAAGTATCTCAGAATACATAATTGACACTAAAAGATTTGAATGAAATGTATTAGGATGTAATATAGTGGGGAAATGGAGACACTATTGTATTCAATTGTATTCTACTGTATACTAGTTCTGTATAGATTTTAGTTTTTAGAAACCTTATTGTTTGATTTATATTGTTGCCAAACGGAAGTTACTGGAGAAGGCTTAAATAGGCTATGCCTGATGCCTGATCCCTTTGCTTCAATTGTTTATATTGAGCAATAAAATTTGTTGAAATAGTAAAAAAAATAGTCACACTCTAATCTTCTACTGGTTGTGTTATAAGATGGAGGTGACCGTGTAGTCATCATCACACTCCAATATTCTACTGGTTGTGTTTTAAGATTGAGGTGACCGTGTAGTCATCATCACACTCCAATATTCTACTGGCTGGGTTATAAGATGGAGGTGACCGTGTAGTCATCATCACACTCCAATATTCTACTGGTTGTGTTATAAGATGGAGGTGACCGTGTAGTCATCATCACACTCCAATATTCTACTGGTTGTGTTATAAGATGGAGGTGACCGTGTAGTCATCATCACACTCCAATATTCTACTGGTTGTGTTATAAGATGGAGGTGACCGTGTAGTCATCAGAACGTCACACTCTAATCTTCTACTGGTTGTGTTATAAGATGGATGTGACCGTGTAGTCATCGTCACACTCCAATATTCTACTGGTTGTGTTATAAGATGGAGGTGACCGTGTAGTCATCGTCACACTCCAATATTCTACTGGTTGTGTTATAAGATGGAGGTGACCGTGTAGTCATCGTCACACTCCAATATTCTACTGGTTGTGTTATAAGATGGAGGTGACCGTGTAGTCATCGTCACACTCCAATATTCTACTGGTTGTGTTATAAGATGGAGGTGACCGTGTAGTCATCGTCACACTCCAATATTCTACTGGTTGTGTTATAAGATGGAGGTGACCGTGTAGTCATCGTCACACTCCAATATTCTACTGGTTGTGTTATAAGATGGAGGTGACCGTGTAGTCATCGTCACACTCCAATATTCTACTGGTTGTGTTATAAGATGGAGGTGACCGTGTAGTCATCATCACACTCAAATATTCTACTGGTTGTGTTATAAGATGGAGGTGACCGTGTAGTCATCGAGACGTCACACTCTAATCTTCTACTGGTTGTGTTATAAGATGGAGGTGACCGTGTAGTCATCGTCACACTCCAATATTCTACTGGTTGTGTTATAAGATGGAGGTGACCGTGTAGTCATCGTCACACTCCAATATTCTACTGGTTGTGTTATAAGATGGAGGTGACCGTGTAGTCATCGTCACACTCCAATATTCTACTGGTTGTGTTATAAGATCTACTATTCTATTGAAATTATCAACCTGAAGAAAACAACGTTTGAAATAACACCGTTTTCTTTTTCATATTCCTCTGATACCATTATTGAAAATGTAATCAAATAAAACTCCGCCTTGTGATGAGGAAGGTGACTTTTTCAGAACGGACATCATAGTCTCCTGGATATCATGGATCTGAACTGCAAAACTTTGTTGTACTATTTTCAAACACCACATTTAATTTCAGTAATTTTAAAGACATTTTAGAAAATATATTAACCAATTAATCAAAACGATTTTTTTTAAATTTCAAATCTTTTCTAGGTACAATTTTCCCGGAAAACTACTGGTTGGATGGAACAGATGTTGTGAAGGAGGGAGAATTTCGTTGGATGGGCAAAAATGGAAATTCTATACCTATAGCTGGTTACACGTATGCAATGTTTAAAAAATATTCTCTCCTGTCGATAAATACTTCGATTATTGTTAAATATATCATTACAATGGTTACTCATGTCATTTTTTTCAGAACAAAGTGTATTAATATTCATCAAAATGTGTATTAATATTCACCACCATGTGTATTAATATTTAACACAATGGGTTCTAGCATTCAGCATAGTAGATATTAATATTGCTAACTAATGTTAATCTTCTATGGTGGAAAACTTTTTGACATAAGATTTTCACATATTAGATATTAACTGAAGTTCTCCTGTTTACAAGATACCATTTTACAACCAACGACGATCAAGTTATATTTTTGATGAGCAAAATTTGAACAACACACTCACCCTAATTGTCCAATCAACAACTAGTAAATACGGACCAGTCAGAAGGGTAACGGACTTATACGCTTTGTGGACTACGTATGTAGGGGAATTATATTTGTACAAGATGTCGTGACCATGTAGAATAGTGTTACTTCGTCCGAGACCTTTTAAACCAGCTTTAAGTGACTGAAAACATTGACATGTGGTTTACAATTCTTTACATTTAATGATACACTGTATATCGAGATATTAATTTTACTTATTTATATAGTTTATCTATTGTAAAAATATACGTAGGCACGTATACCTACATACTTATCAGTGCTATTTCTATATATAAGTGAACGCTCTGATTGTCATCTAGACAACAATAGCATCGCTAACTCATAGCACACTAGTACAATTGTTGCATGAAAAGAAATACGTACGATATTTAAAATTTTTTTAAAATAAATAATGAAAAAAAAAAAATTGTTGGACAGGAATTGGGCGCCAGGACAGCCGGACAATGGCGGACACTTAGAAAACTGCCTAGAAATACGGTTCTCCTTTGGTATCCTTTGGAATGACCTAGACTGCAATGCAAAACAGAATTTCATCTGTGAAGCTAGGTAAATATAGTTTAATCCATATGATTATTATTGTTCAGGTTTAGCATCGTTAGTATTGTAAAAATGATAAATTTGGTCAAGCACAAAATGTACAAAACAGAGCTCGGGTTAACATGTACACGTGTATTCCTTAGAATTGTACTTTTTTCGTTTTTTACGCTTGTCTGTTTTTTCTTTCTTTATTTTTTTTTTAAGGAGGGTTGGAATGGAGGGGATCGACAACCAGATATCTAAAACATAATTATATTTCAGTCAATCAAATAAAACTACGCCAAAGCATTTTGTAAATATCTCTATAAAATCACTTTTTCATTGCAATTAAGTTACAATCAGCTACAGTAAATAAGGGTTATGTCCCTTTAACCGTTAAGCTTTTAGAGCCATTGGTGCTGAATAGTCGATGTCGTTAGTTACGATCACTTTAGATTTTCCTCAGTCGCCTCCTAGTTTACAAAATTTAGGCCCTCAGCATCATTCCCAAGTCCTAGAAGGACGAAACAGTTGTATGATGTAGCATCACTCCCGAGTCCTAGAAGGACGAAACAGTTGTATGATGTAGCATCACTCCCGAGTCCTAGAAGGACGAAACAGTTGTATGATGTAGCATCACTCCCGAGTCCTAGAAGGACGAAACAGTTGTATGATGTAGCATCACTCCCGAGTCCTAGAAGGACGAAACAGTTGTATGATGTAGCATCACTCCCGAGTCCTAGAAGGACGAAACAGTTGTATGATGTAGCATCACTCCCGAGTCCTAGAAGGACGAAACAGCTGTATGATGTAGCATCACTGACGAGTCCTAGAAGGACGAAACAGTTGTATGATGTAGCATCACTGACGAGTCCTAGAAGGACGAAACAGTTGTATGATGTAGCATCACTCCCGAGTCCTAGAAGGACGAAACAGTTGTATGATGTAGCATCACTCCCGAGACCTAGAAGGACGAAACAGCTGTATGATGTAGCATCACTCCCGAGTCCTAGAAGGACGAAACAGTTGTATGATGCAGTTTAATTCATTGTTGGACTCTAGTGCATCTAAATCGAAAGTGGTATTAATTGGTGCTATGCACATTTTTCATTTAAGTACTTATTTGACATTTTCAGCACTGAGTGGGAAGGAGACAATATCATTGGTTGAACGGACGGTCATCTAAATAATATCAAGTTTGCTTAATACAATAAAATCGTTCTTTATAAAACTCAGAATAAATATCTCCTGGAATGTGTTTGTGTTTTGTGTTCAAGACCTTGAAATATATGCTTATATATATAAAACAAAATGTTAAATGGCTACTATAATTCTGAATCTCAATCACTTACTTTTTCAAGCCTTGTGGCCATCTTGAACGGTTGCATCTAACCTACATTCCGACGTAAGGTTGTTGTCTATTTGGGAAGTTAAGAACAGTATAATTAGCGTCCCGGCACAAATTTTAGTGTGTCTTTAGAGACGGGCAACCAAATCACTAGGAGAAAATACTTACACGAGCCAAATTTGATGTCAATGACCAACACAACGATAAGGTTTGTAAGTACAATTCCTTAATATTCAAAAAACGGGAAAGTTATAAATCCAAACAGTGACTTTAATTATAAAAATAGTAACCTTATTTACTGTATTAACTCTCCAACTTGCCTCGAAATACTACATTGGACAGACAGGAAACGCTGTGTATGAAAGCGTCAGAGTCTATTGACAACAGAATCGCTTACCAGAAACGTAAACTATCCCTTTGAATGTACATTTGGGTAAGTGAAGTAAACGACATTTCTGGTTATACTCCTCTTACAAAATGACAAAGCTTACCACAGCAAAAGGAAACAACAGCAGAAGAAATGTTTGTCTAACTTTTCAACCCGCCCCATAGTATTACGTCATAATGTAGGTTACTATGACACCATAATGTAGGTTACTATGACATCGTAATGTAGGTCACGAAGTGACGTGCCTATGGCGTCAATGCAATCACCTGAAGATCTCCACAAGACTTGAAAACGTTAGTGTTTGAGAGTTGTTACTTTAGTAGCCATGTTTATATTAAGGGGTTATCTTTACATAGATATATGTACGATACTCAAATACCCACTTGTGAACACAATGATACTCCAAAGTCAGTAACGCTTGGACAAATGAAAGATTTACACGTAGACAAGCAGAATAAGAACAGGTGTTCCGGAAGAGTAAGCGTCTTCTGCTTCATCGACGACACTCGCCATGTAAACCTTAGTCTATTCAATTAAGTAATGTCATGCCTTCAAATGAGAAAATGGTAAATAATCATGGAACATCCAGGCCAACTAACGGGTACTTAACAAGTTAAACTTCATATCACACAAAGAAGAAGAAGTTTTGAAAATGAGATCACTTTGACGATCGTAAAACTTTCCCATAATTTTTATCAACCTTCATCGCTCGAAATGTTGTGTTAAGAGCATGTAAGTAAGTTGTCGATATCTTGCACGTAAATCGTGATATTGGGAACAGGCCCTAGGTGCGAGTTACGCTTTTGCTACCTGTAGTGCAAGTAATTACGAAGTTTTTTTCCATAGTGTTGAAAGTACAGAAGAGAATACCACCATACCAACAGAATCTTAATTACAACTGAGAATTGATATTTTATTATCATAATTACAGTCTTAACGGACCATCAACACATAAAAGGTCATTAGGGTCACCAGCTTTAATCTAACCAATGCTAAATCTTAACAAGAATTTGTCGTTTGAAAAAATAAAAGGAGAAAAACGCCAGGTGTTCCGAAGGAGGAAGCGTCCTATGTTTTAGAGATGACATGAATTAAAATATTTGTCCGCTGGAAATGACAGTCACCATAACGCTTGTTTTTGTATTTAAATGTGTTCCAATACTTTCCATACTAACTGAGAGAGATGGAAGTTGACTGGTTGGTTTTGAATGTCATGTGTGGTCTCCATTTTAATCTTCATTTTGTTTATATTACGCCATGGTTTAATCCAATTCGAGTGTGTTAATGTTCAGTTGACATGTCAGCATGTTCTTGACGGTACGGAGCGTTGGAGAACAGTGGCCTACTGAAAATAGGGTAGTGTTCTGATGTGTTGAAGTAGGGATATAGGCAATGCTGAACTTCTGAAATAAAAAATATAATTCCAATTAAACATTTGCAACATGGATAAATTTCTCTTTCTGGTGGATCTGTTCCGTTTCGGTGTATCATTCCTTTCTAAAAGGCTTTAATTGTAATAATGATGTTTAAAAATACAACAAAGCTACCATTCAATTTGTCTGTTATGTTATGGTTGTATATCTGTCATAGTTCGTCTTTGTAAGGTAGATTTTGACTGTCCTTGGCCCGGTACAGTCACAATAGACAGAATTAAAGATAGGATGACAGGTTTTATTGTGTTTTGATAATAAATCAGTTGAAATATCTAATTGTCTTAATTTAAACAACAACAGTGATAAGGTCTACATTACAAGCCCTGTTTAACGTTAAACAATAATTTTGGGAATTGCCGTCCTCCTAGCCACCTTACTTACTACCACTACATCATCTATACATTTCTGACATCATCAGTATGTATTGTTCCCTGTATAACTGTCACCAGAAACAAATACATCGTTACACAGAGTCGAATTAGTCTTCCCGCAATTTATTCTCTGAAAACCTTATCAATTTAACAAATACGAAACAATCTATGTTAATAAATCTTGTCGACTAGGAGGAGACACCAGAGAGGTCAAACCGAAGTACCTGAGGAAAGGTCAAAGGTCGGGCTAATGACCCCATACTTTTCATATCCGGGGGAATCGAACCCTAGACGCCATGATTAAAGACGAGTGCTTTCACGCTGCACCATCCGACCACCCTTTGGTTCTGTTAAAGTAAACGAAACCAAATAGATGATATCGTTATTTTTTTAGAACCGGAAGGAGTATAAGGAAAATCAGACCAGGTGTTTCTGAAGGACACGAGTGTTAAGCTTCATTGACGACTTCTGCCATGTAAAAAAAATGTTAGTTTGTCTTGAGAAAACGCTTATTACAAAACCAGTTTTCGTGGATGATTTAATGTTTGTTAGTTTTGTTAGTACGTTTTTAATCCACGTATTCCTGTGTCCACGAACTGTAAGTATAAGTAGATGTGATAAGCTATATTTATCCACGATCAATGATCCATGAAATAGTTATTGATCGAAGAAAACACGAAAGCTGAGCCCCTTGAAAATATATGATTTTGCAGTAACTACATTAGGAGGTTCTTCAAAAAGGCATACTCATTCGTCTTACTCTGAGCTCAAGTGAGTACAATTTACATGGACTTTTCAATCTTAGTCGACAGGTATAATTATTGGTTGGTTGACAGTGTTCTGGCGATGTGAGGGAGGCGACCTACACCCCTCCCCCCTCAGAGGAGTGGAACCGTCTGTCGCGGTGATTGATTGTGCTAGTTTTAGGAGACAGCTTCGGGATTTGAGCATGCCTTATCCTAGCAGTCTAAAACATGCCCGGAAGTGGAAAAGAAGAATGGAGGGCCTACATAGATTTGGTTTAGGTTTTGGTAATTTTGAAGTCTGTCAAATGCCTAAGTGTTAATTCTATAGCCTATCACTCTCCCTTAACGCCGGGACCAGCGTTATTAAGCATTCTCTTTACCGAAAAGCCACAGTGGGATCTTTAGCATGCGATAGTGGAAGTCTTCTCACAGGTGTAAAGGTCTGTAGATGTGTATACTTAATCCATCCAGGAAACCGTGATGGGTTAAATAAAGATAAGATCAACTGATCGACCAAGCACAAATATTCACATCTCAATTCGTAGACGTCAGTGAAAAAGAAGATCGGAAAATCTAAATGAATTGTTCAATGATTTCGAAGAATAACAACGATCGTGTTAATGAAGTAAGCGACCTCATTGATATACAAATTAATAGGCAGTAGGAGAGTAGACACGGAGCAGTGAACCTACACTAAGCCATCTGAAGTAAGAAATCACTGGACCGTGTCTTCTTTAGCATTACAAGCTTGGCATGTTCCACACTTAAATATTATTTCCTGTATTGTACGCTATTAGCATTGGAGAAAATTTCTTAAGGATTTAGAAACGCCGTGTTGTATTGTGTATATTAGAAGTATTCATTATATACGGGTTGTAAAAGAAAACCAACTGTATACGCGCGTTTATTCTGGGAACAAATAGTTCCATTTGTCATTTCAGTTCTTCTAGAAAAAAAATCTTCAAATATTATCTTTAATATCAATAAAAATCAACTTTTATGACACATTTTGTTTATATGTATAAATTTATGTATAAAACATTTGTGCCGATGTAATTATTTCTCCAGCTATTTTCTATTAAACATTTGTTGTGTACTTGTAAGTAAAGCTGATCAGTTGCTGGCATACCCTGGTGTTTAAATGTCTAATCAGATTTTAGTGTGACTGCCTGAACGATAAACCTATGAAAAAACCGATTAACACCTTTCAAATCTACAGCTAAACACAATAAAGACATAAAACACATTCATTGCTTAACAAAGTACTAAACAAATTCTATTGTGTTGGATAAGATCGAAATCTTACGATGTGCCAATTCTATAGTCTCCGTGTCCTTTATGGCTATTAAATTACAAAACAATACTTGTTAACATGATGTTCTGTGTATGTTTATAAACGTCAAGAAAAGATTAGAAAATAAAACGAGCACCAAAACCGGATCTCTGTATATTTATTGAACAGTTAGCCAGAGTTGTTGTTACTTCTGTGTTAGCAACACTAACCTTAAAAGATTGATAGAAGAAGTTGACTACGGTGTCTTCCAGTAGTCCTGGCTTGCTTAAACTTAGGAATTGTATAATGGGGAATTTCGTATGTATAATTTATCCCTCAAATCAAGATCGAAATTTTGATTAATGATGAAATAGGAGACTCACGAAAACTTACACAGCATCACGATATCTGTGGTAGACACATTATCACGATATCTAGACACAGTATCACGATATCTGTGGTAGACACAGTATCACGATATCTAGACACAATATCACGATATCTGTGGTAGACACAGTATCACGATATCTAGACACAATATCACGATATCTGTAGTAAACACAGTATCACGATATCTAGACACAGTATCACGATATCTAGACACAGTATCACGATATCTGTGGTAAACACAGTATCACGATATCTAGACACAGTATCACGATATCTAGACACAATATCACGATATCTGTGGTAGACACAGTATCACGATATCTAGACACAGTAACACGATATCTGTGGTAGACACAGTATCACGATATCTAGACACAGTATCACGATATCTAGACACAGTATCACGATATCTGTGGTAGACACAGTATCACGATATCTAGACACAGTATCATGATATCTGTGGTACACACAATATCACGATATCTAGACACAATATCACGTTATCTGTGGAAGACACAGTATCACGATATCTGTGGTAGACACAGTATCACGATATCTGTGTTAGACACAGTATCACGTTATCTAGACACATTATCACGGTATCTGTGGTAGACACAGTATCACGATATCTAGACACAGTATCACGATAGCTGTGTGGTATATCACGATATCTGTAGACACAGTATCACGATATCTGTATCTAGACACAGTATCACGATATAGACACAGTATCACGATATCTGTGGTAGACACAGTATCACGATATCTAGACACAGTATCACGATATCTGTGGTAGACACAGTATCACGATATCTAGACACAGTATCACGATATCTAGACACAGTATCACGATATCTGTGGTAGACACAGTATCACGATATCTAGACACAGTATCACGATATCTGTGGTAGACACAGTATCACGATATCTAGACACAGTATCACGATATCTGTGGTAGACACAGTATCACGATATCTAGTATCACGATATCTGTGGTAGACACAGTATCACGATACAGTATCACGATATCGATATTTGTGGTAGTACACATCTAGACACAATATCACGTTATCTGTGGTAGACACAGTATCACGATATCTGTGTTAGACACAGTATCACGTTATCTAGACACATTATCACGGTATCTGTGTTAGACACAGTATCACGATATCTGTGGTACACACAGTACCACGATATCTAGACACAGTATCACGTTATCTAGACACAGTATCACGATATCTGTGGTAGACACAGTATCACGATATCTAGACACAGTATCACGATATCTGTGGTAGACACAGTATCACGATATCTAGACACAGTATCACGATATCTGTGGTAGACACAGTATCACGATATCTAGACACAGACACAGTATCACGATAGCTGTCTAGACACAGTATCACGATATCTAGACACAGTATCACGATATAGACACAGTATCACATCAGACACAGTATCACGATATCTGTCACGATATCTAGACACAATATCACGATATCTGTGGTAGACACAGTATCACGATATCTAGACACAGTATCACGATATCTGTGGTAGACACAGTATCACGATATCTAGACACAGTATCACGATATCTGTGGTAGACACAGTATCACATCTAGACACACAGTACCACGATATCTAGACACAGTATCACGTTATCTAGACACAGTATCACGATATCTGTGGTAGACACAGTATCACGATATCTAGACACAGTATCACGATAGCTGTGATAGACACAGTATCACGATATCTAGACACAGTATCACGATATCTAGACGCAGTATCACGATATCTAGACACAGTATCACGATATCTGTGGTAGACACAGTATCACGATATCTAGACACAGTATCACGATATCTGTGGTAGACACAGTATCACGATATCTAGACACAGTATCACGATATCTGTGGTAGACACAGTATCACGATATCTAGACACAGTATCACGATATCTGTGGTAGACACGGTATCACGATATCTGTGGTAAACACGGTATCACGCTATCTGTGGTAGACACAGTATCACGATATCTAGACACATTATCACGATATCTGTGTTAGACACAGTATCACGATATCTAGACACAGTATCACGATATCTAGACACAGTATCACGATATCTGTGGTAGACACAGTATCACGATATCTAGACACATTATCACGATATCTGTGTTAGTCACAGTATCACAGTATCACGATATAGACACAGTATGTGTATATTAGACACAGTATCACGATATCTAGACACAGTATCACGATATCTGTGTTAGACACAGTATCACGATATCTAGACACAGTATCACTATATCTGTGGTAGGCACAGTATCACGATATCTAGACACATTATCACGATATCTGTGGTAAACAAGTGAACCGCCTGTTAACAATACCAACCGTTATTCTTTTGTTGTCGATATCTTTGTGCTGGAATAGAGAGCACGATATTATTTAGTCGATATAGCTTTCAAACGCGATATATGCAAAGACATTATTAATGGAATCAAATGAATATCCATATTCCATCTTGTTCACTTCTGGAATAAATAGATTGACAAGAAAACGATAGCCTTTATATAATAAATAAAAATAATATTGGAATAAAAAACATGAAACCATCAAGCAAAAACAAACATTTCTCGATCTTTATTTGTATATAAAATTTAACAAAATATATTTACATTTCTTTGAAAAGGTGTTGTACAGTGATGTTAATACCTTAAGATTAAAGAATAGCACGTGCCATACATGTGTATATAGATTCTGGTTGGATATTGATAGATTGTATAACCGTCGTCCTTGACCTTGTGTTGCCCAGACAACGTTCACTTAAAGAACACTTGACAGGTGAAAAAGAACACAATAGATTATATAAAGATAAAACAAAGTCGGGATTTTAATCATCTCTGTACCGTTTTGTATCTGAACCTTTAAACAGGTGAACAGTAATACTGTAGAATGACGTTGATTAGAACGTCAACAACTTACGTCACGATCAAACAGAAATGTAGCAGAAAAGAAGACAATACAAGATATTAGAATGATCTATACTAAGTGATCTAGCTACAGATCTTTAGTACAATTTGGCACATTTCAATAAACACTACTACTTCAAATGAACTATAAAAACTATTCTTGTTAACATGAAACATTTGCGAATAACACTTCATTTCACATATAGCACGTTGTGCGACAGACCAGCGTCCATGTATAATGTACCTATGGTAAATTAGAAAGAACTATATATGACACACAATGAATTATAACTGTATGTGTTCTATATATAGTGTTATGTTGCTAACAATGTCAGAAGTCTAACGAATAACTCAACCTACGTGACCGGCATGATCACATGACCCTGAGGACATCACATGACCCTAAAGGTCACCATATGGTCCTACAGGACTAGTGACATAATTATGTAACAATATACTACTTATATTTCAATAACGTGACCCTGCAGGGTTAATGACAAAACTATATATCCTTACGGACATAACAACCAAATCTCGTGGTCCTTCAGGATTAGCTTCACAACTATGGAAACCTACAATGTTAACAGCAAAATCACGTGACCATACCGGCATGTCAAATGATTTCAAAAGCACAGAGAATCTGAACATATTTGATATATAAGTGTTTAGTTGTATCATGGTGACAATGGCTTTCTGTACAACGGAGGTCTTCAGTGTTCATAACATGATTTCATGACCGAAAATCACTGTTTGTTAATGTTGAGTAACTATTCGTTAATGTCGAGTGACTGTTCAATAATGTCGAGTTACTGTTCAGTAGGGAAAGTGAACATTGTGCCTGAACAAGAGAAGGCAGTGAAGAAATGTCTCCATTTGCAATCACTTTAAGCAACGAATAATTGTTAATAAATGTTTTGGCTACGAATATCATAATCAAGTTTGTCTACCAATTGTCGTTGGTTTTTATCTATCGGTATAAATAGCTTACTGCTCGTTGATTTATTGTTCAACTGACATATTCGGAAATTTGTGTTGTGTGGATTTTTTTTTATGTTGATCAATACTGAAAAAGGACACGGAATGGATACATTGCTGAAAGTTAAAAATCAGTATACATGAAGTGTACCTTCACTGAGAGTGATGATCGTCATTACCTAGTGTTATATCATGGAATGTTGGTTAAGCACCTTCCCATGTCGTCATCCTCGTATTTGTACGAAAATAGCATAAGGTTTTCTTCAGGATTTGATTTTAAATGGTATCCATTGACAAACGAGTTTGTTGACCTCTAATATCGTTACATTGCTGGGATTAAAGTTGGTATCATTCACAGCTTCTCAAATCTGGCTTCAAATCTCATGAACACTTGTGGTAAAAGTTTCTTCCATAACAGCTGGAGTTACAGTAATTAGTTTTGTCCAGGTAATGAGCACTTTCGGTTATTGATGTCGAAATATTGGAAACGAACACTTCCGGTTGCCATTAAAATCATTAGCACTCCCGTTCGATTAAGATATTGTTTGACCTTGAACCCGATTTTCCATTTGCTTTATATCAAAATGTCAGCTATAAAGTACAGAATAGGATGTTATCGTGGTAATATTGCACGTTTGTTAGTGAGTCTCCGACTCATACGATGTTGTGATACCGTAAAGGGCTGTCCCCTTTTAGCTGGGGTGGGGGGTAGTAATGGAAGGTTAGGTTTGAACCTCTGACTCCCAATATGCATTAGGATACCACCGACCAGATTAATAAGCAGTCCCATGATCGCCATACCACACGACCAACTGACCGTCTGGGACACCTTGTTGATGGCAGATCCATAAACAATAATTCCGACAAAGCCGACCAACACTGAAATAGAAATTAACCACATCACAATAGATAAACATTATAGATATTTATCTCAGTGTAAATACAATAGATAAACATTATAGATATTTATCTCAGTGTAAATACAATATATTAACATTATAGATATTTATCTCAGTGTAAATACAATATATAAACATTATAGATATTTATCTCAGTGTAAATACAATAGATAAACATTATAGATATTTATCTCAGTGTAAATACAATATATAAACATTATAGATATTTATCTCAGTGTAAATACAATAGATAAACATTATAGATATTTATCTCAGTGTAAATACAATATATTAACATTATAGATATTTATCTCAGTGTAAATACAATAGATAAACATTATAGATATTTATCTCAGTGTAAATACAATAGATAAACATTATAGATATTTATCTCAGTGTAAATACAATAGATAAACATTATAGATATTTATCTCAGTGTAAATACAATAGATAAACATTATAGATATTTATCTCAGTGTAAATACAATAGATAAACATAGATATTTATCTCAGTGTAAATACAATAGATAAACATTATAGATATTTATCTCAGTGTAAATACAATAGATAAACATTATAGATATTTATCTCAGTGTAAATACAATAGATAAACATAGATATTTATCTCAGTGTAAATACAATAGATAAACATTATAGATATTTATCTCAGTGTAAATACAATAGATAAACATTATAGATATTTATCTCAGTGTAAATACAATAGATAAACATTATAGATATTTATCTCAGTGTAAATACAATATATTAACATTATAGATATTTATCTCAGTGTAAATACAATAGATAAACATTATAGATATTTATCTCAGTGTAAATACAATAGATAAACATTATAGATATTTATCTCAGTGTAAATACAATAGATAAACATTATAGATATTTATCTCAGTGTAAATACAATAGATAAACATTATAGATATTTATCTCAGTGTAAATACAATAGATAAACATTATAGATATTTATCTCAGTGTAAATACAATAGATAAACATTATAGATATTTATCTCAGTGTAAATACAATAGATAAACATTATAGATATTTATCTCAGTGTAAATACAATAGATTAACATTATAGATATTTATCTCAGTGTAAATACAATAGATAAACATTATAGATATTTATCTCAGTGTAAATACAATATATAAACATTATAGATATTTATCTCAGTGTAAATACAATAGATAAACATTATAGATATTTATCTCAGTGTAAATACAATAGATAAACATTATAGATATTTATCTCAGTGTAAATACAATAGATAAACATTATAGATATTTATCTCAGTGTAAATACAATAGATAAACATTATAGATATTTATCTCAGTGTAAATACAATATATTAACATTATAGATATTTATCTCAGTGTTAATACAATAGATAAACATTATAGATATCTATTATAATTATTTTGAAAATTGGATCTTTAGATTAATGAGTTTTACAAGTATGTGGGTGATATCAAGAAGTATACATGTATATAGGTTATGCTAAAACATAGAGTGAGTTTAATAAAAAAAACCCAGATTTTTCCGAATCAACACTGGAGAAGAAAATTTATCATAACGATATAGGACAATACTAGATAAAAGATAGTAATATAACGAAGTCAAATCTTTGTCACAGAAGCACCTGACAATTGGTATATTTGTATGTCTAAAAGAGACTTTGTTAAGCTAACCAAAACCATATACATGTTGAAGTAACAAACCTGTTAAATAGGATGAAACAGCAGCTAGCAATCCAACAGATTTCTCTTCGAAAAGTCCACACATGTACAGCAACATGAGAAGCAAAACTAAACAGAATCCTGCCATCACAAGGAGTGTAAACACGGCCGCACAAATGATCTGACCCTTTTCTGAAACACACAACAATATCTACAGTAAGTATAGAACACGATATATCTTACTACAACAACATCTACAGTAAGAATAGAACACGATATATCTTACTACAACAACATCTACAGTAAGAATAGAACACGATATATCTTACTACAACAACATCTACAGTAAGAATAGACACACGATATATCTTACTACAACAACATCTACAGTAAGAATAGAACACACGATATATCTTACTACAACAACATCTACAGTAAGAATAGAACACGATATATCTTACTACAACAACATCTACAGTAAGAATAGAACACACGATATATCTTACTACAACAACATCTACAGTAAGAATAGAACACGATATATCTTACTACAACAACATCTACAGTAAGAATAGAACACGATATATCTTACTACAACAACATCTACAGTAAGAATAGAACACACGATATATCTTACTACAACAACATCTACAGTAAGAATAGAACACGATATATCTTACTACAACAACATCTACAGTAAGAATAGAACACACGATATATCTTACTACAACAACATCTACAGTAAGAATAGAACACACGATATATCTTACTACAACAACATCTACAGTAAGAATAGAACACACGATATATCTTACTACAACAACATCTACAGTAAGAATAGAACACACGATATATCTTACTACAACAACATCTACAGTAAGAATAGAACACACGATATATCTTACTACAACAACATCTACAGTAAGAATAGAACACACAATATATCTTACTACAACAACATCTACAGTAAGAATAGAACACGATATATCTTACTACAACAACATCTACAGTAAAAACATATCTCTGAGAGTCCAGCTCCCGGCGGCATGCAGCAACAGTTTAAATCTAATACCAAGTATCATGAAAACCCTGATTCTGACTCAAAAACAAATTAGAAACAAAAGAAACGTTTTGTAAAAAGATCCCACGAAAAAATATCAGGCAGAAAAAGTAATCATCACTTTTACTTTCATTAATGTAAGCGGCTTTACAGATAAATCAACCAAATAGTATTTTTTGATGATTAAAAAAACCACGAATACACTTTCCTTTCGAACGGAAAAATCAAAGTTGTGAACAAGCACAAACTAATGAACCTAAACGTGCAATGCTTAGAAATAATTCTCTCTCACATTGTTAAACAAATAAGGAGATAAAGATATTTCATTTCATCCACCAACACATTGTTAGATAAAAATGAAGGATTTTATAGGAATTTAATCTTACTCGCCAAGAAAGTGTTAATTAGAAAGGGAGACATTTTCTAGATATTTGAGATTTTACTCATCCACACATTTTTAAAGAAAAAGGAGATTTATTACAGTTATTTTAATTTTATCATCCACGTATCTTTAATTAGAAAGGGGGAGATTTTCTAGATATTTAATTTCACTTACCCACACACTGGTAGATAAAAAAAAGAGATATTTTATGGAGATATTTTTTCACTCTGCCATGAATTAACTTGATTAAAAAAGTCATTTATCCTAGTCTTTTCTGAAATACAGACACGATTACACTTGTTCATACTTAAGGATCTTAAAAAGAGAGTCTTCCTGTCCCTATCTTCTCCTGTTTTCCCCTCTCAGGACCTTAGAAAGCGAGTCCCCCCAACGTCCCTCCTGCTTATCTTACTTACATAAAGAAGAGTGATAATGACAATGATATGCACATTCCGGTTGGGTTTTTTTCAACCTTTAAAGGTTAACAAATTTCTACTGGTGAGAAAATGAATTAACATAGTTCAATTAATCGTTGGTAACAATATATTCTAGTATGTGGTGTCATTCTAGCACTTTAAATCACAGGGCAATCAAAGGATACATCTCGGCTGCCTATTTAGCAGTGGAATGTTCACTACATGGCCTACAGGACAAATATTAGCAGAACTACTGGGCCATAGAATTGTGTTTATACGTCTATGTATGGTCACACAATTGCAGCTCTTGAGATTTTAATCATATTTACTTGTTCGCGGTGATAAAACCTGAAAGCTATGCACATCAAAAGAACACATATTTCGTTATAAACCCAATCACAGAGATACGCATTAATAATAAGAAACTTTGACCTAATTTGGGAGTTTCAAAATTGCTTTTATTTAATTCAATAATCCAACGGTGTTTGAGAGCTTACAAAGAACGCTAGTAAGAGTAAGACTTTCGACATTAATATCTCAGGTATATAGTGACGTTGATATATTTAAGTATACAGCGACGTAAATATCAGAGTTAAGCCATCCACTGACGTGATACATGATTAGGAAACAACTAAAACACTTCACCTTAGATAAAATTGCGTCCTAATGATGTAGGCCTGTGTCCTAATGATGTAGGCCTGTGTCCTAATGATGTAGAGTTGTGTCCTAATGATGTAGAGTTGTGTCCTAATGATGTAGACCTGTGTCCTAATGATGTAGACCTGTGTCCTAATGATGTAGACCTACGTCCTAATGATGTAGACCTGTGTCCTAATGATGTAGACATGTGTCCTAATGATGTAGACCTACGTCCTAATGATGTAGACCTGTGTCCTAATGATGTAGACCTACGACCTAATGATGTAGACCTGTGTCCTAATGATGTAGACCTGTGTCCTAATGATGTAGACCTACGACCTAATGATGTAGACCTGTGTCCTAATGATGTAGACCTACGACCTAATGATGTAGACCTGCGTCCTAATGATGTAGAGTTGTGTCCTAATGATGTAGACCTGTGTCCTAATGATGTAGAGTTGTGTCCTAATGATGTAGGCCTGTGTCCTAATGATGTAGAGTTGTGTCCTAATGATGTAGACTACTGATCTGTATGACGGAGGTGGTATATTGGAACAAATAAAATCAATCATTATTCTATATAGAATTACTTGTTTAGAATGTGTGACTGTTCCAACATATGTTTTCTTATTACGCTGCATATCAATTTCGAACAAAATATTATCTTTGATAACTAACACAGACTTACAGAGTTAGGACAACATATTGATAGTCAACGCGGAGAGATTACACAACACATTAAACAAGTGATTTCCTTCTGGAGACGTATCAGTACTCAATTAGACTCATTAAGATCTCGTGATAAGTGTTGGCGATAAAGGGGAAGAAGATCACACTTGCAGAACACCTGTTTCAGGGGTCTTCGTGTAAATAATTCTTCTTCTCATATTTTGACAATTTTCCTCGAGATAAAGTTTGAATTGAAATTATATTTATATGTCGGTGTAAAAGTAAACTTCACAACTCATTTTCTGTTATTTGTATGAATGTAAATCTGAAATAAAACCAGTTCGAATTTTATAAAAATGCTCATATAATGGAAGCTCAATTACTAATACAGCAAATCGATATTTAGTTTACCGTTCACCGTGTGATTGCTGATATAAAGGTAGGTGACAATTTCGTGTTTTGACTAAGTAAGTCGTGTTATTGAGAGACCATCAAGTCCGTATTATTCCAAAGACCTTAGATAGATAGTTAAATGTGATTTGATAACAGTGTAACTGTCCTATTAAGTCACCCTTACTCTATATTTATACCTATTTTACCTGTGCAGTCTATCATAACTGATCTATTTTTCTAGTTCATTTCAAGATTTCCCGAATAAATATTTCTTATGCTCCTGTTGCCTTCGTTTTATTGAATTTGGGTTGTATTGTGATAAATTCGCATGTTGGTGTTTACTTTGGTGGTTTTTTTTAACTAGCTTCTAATGGTACATTAATACTTTCGCTTATGTTTTACTAGATTTTCATTTCAAACATTTCATCAAATTGCAATATCAAAAGTTTTTTTTAAAAAAGTCTAAACTTCTCCATACAGCTCAGTTGGTTCCGTCGTTGGGTACATTATATCGTGTTCTCTTTGGAGAACGTGACATTACACACATGGTTGATCAAGGTTTACATGACGGCTGTCGTCGATGAAGCAGAAGATGCTTACTCTTTTGGAACACCTGGTCTTATTCTCATTGCGCTTTTTTTATGAGTCTGAGTGTAAATCTGTCTTTTGTTCATATTTTGTCCTAATTTTATTAAATTTGAGTTTCGGTTATAATTACATTGACATTGACTACTTTTATGTAAGGCCAACTTAATGTGGTTTTATGTGAATCAGATATAGATAAAATTCTTCATTATGTCCCAGCTCTCACGAGCACTGGCGCGGTTGTACAGGAAAGCGCGCACGGGGTCTTAATGTGCAAGGAAACGTCCTCCAGGAATGGCCGGGTCACCAGAAGTAATATATTGAATTTTCATTTTTAAAGCGACTTTCTTGTTAAACAGTGAACATTTTATCAATAAAAATATATGAAATTGTTAAACCAATCTCCATCCCTCCTCCCAAAGTTTACGAATACCAAATCTGAAATCATCTTTGACGATATAAGAAAAGAAAATTTGGAGGATTGTTTGAATTGGCTACATACAAAACAGTGTTTTTTCCGTTCCAACAAAAAAGAACAGAAAATAAAATGACAGGAACAGGTATATTTTTGTTACAAAAGTTGAAACACATCTTAACTTCTAAATGAATAAAATATTTTGAGTTTTCTGGGAAAATAACAAAAAACATGAATAAAAAAGAAATGGTGTGAAGGATCGAGAACGGTTGATTATCGACTTTTTTGAAGCAGTAATGTCTTGCTTCACATATGTTTTAAACTTAAATTCTATAGATAACAACATCCAAAAACTTAAAACGTTCCCAGTGTAACAGGTCGCCACTGCATACGTGACCAATATCATTTATCTGTGACGTTTGTAACATATACATGTAATTAAAAAAAAACCTCAAAAAATCAATCAATCAATCAATCAATCAATCAATCAGTCAATCAACCAGTCAACCAACCAACCAACCAATCTCTCTGTCTGTCCGTCCGTCCGTCTATCTGTCTATCGATCGATAACTAAATCAATAGATAAATAAATCAATCAATCAAATAAATAAAACCTCTACTTATACTCTTCATTAACTACGACACGAGATCGATAATATATGCCAATGATCTGGACACAATATAAGGAAAATGTCACTATGCCAGGTTAATAGTCCTGTATAGGACGTACAAAGAAACATCAAGTACTTTTGTAAAAGGGATGATAAGAATTTTATATCACTCTTCCTAGCCCTGTATTTTAGTACGTGTCACTTTGTGAAGTTTTGCGCCGATATATATATTTGAGTCACATTTTTTTTGTAAAGTTTAAAAAATAAAACAATCTAAATATGTTTTTTTTTCACATAAAAACTTGAAGTGGAGACTGAAAAACTATCAAAATATCACGTTTTCATATTCTGATACATCTATATTGATTTGATGAATTCAGATCGTCAGTTGGATTCATGATAGTGTTTAGGTTTGAAAGTCCGATAAATATACATGTGGATTTGATTATCACAAGAGATATTGGTAATCGATTTATGTATTTATTCGAAGAAATAAAACAATTACCAATATGTATGGCTCCTATCAATGGACGTTAACTGCCTACGGTATAAACGGGTTCGAATCCTAGGGGAGACATTGAAATAAAGAATGATCTCTGTTACACTACACAAGTAAAACATTGAAGAATCAAGTCTAAGATAGACCGTGAAATGTGCAACGTGACAGTGGCCGACAACTCACCTGCGTACTGATCATAAAACACGTGCGTGTCGTAACATAGCCCGGAGCTTGTACAGGACGTGAAGAGTCCGGAATGAGCCGATCCATCGTTGGATACTGACCAGTGCTGAGTAGCAATTCCAAGAATAAAAAAGACGGTCCCTATAATCTCGACTATACATGCTATCCAGTCAATTTCAACACGGCAAGGCATGCTGATGACCACGAGGAAAATGGACACTAACTGACCAGTACTGACAAATTTCTTGTTTTCTGACTTCCTCACCAAGGCACCAGTCGTTTAAATTAATGTCAGCAGCTTTGTCAGGTGTTTAACGTAACACAAGATCAATATTGTTTACTTTTCACAAAGTTTAAAAATTTAGTGGGAGGGTGACCTGATCCATTTTGTTACATTGTCTGTTAGTCGGTAATTAAAATATCATGTAAATTAAGTTGGTTCCTTCAGAAATTCCATGACCATCACAATTTCTGGTAAAATGTCTCTCTCGATATAACTTTTTATGTTCAGACTCCAGACTAAAGTGTACCATAAATATTTGCCTTCTGTCACTCTGTTGAAATGTGACACACTGAGAAAGTAAAACGCACACGCCTCGAAACCATGGACTAGTTTGACGAGAAATCCGTCCGTGTGGCCAGATTCTAATGGTCCGAGCAGCCAGGCCAAACTTCACTTGTCTTCGGATTCAAATACATTATCCCCGATTTGAATTGTATCATTTAAAAACCTGTTTATAATCTTTAAGTTTTAAATTTTAGTCCGTATTCACCAGTGAGTCGATAACAGGTCTCGTCTCGCGCTGTTGTATAACTATTTAGACATTAAATCGTGCCAAGTTCTTTTCCTGATCAGAGTGGGGCCCAAATGGGGTGTTTACTGGGTCAAAGTATATTGTGTATATAAACGATATGTCGAAAAGGATATGTAGCCTATTTGATTAAATAATATACATATTCAATGGAAACACGTTTAAAAATACACCTTGATCTTTCTGATAAAGTCTGTCTGCAACCAAACCACAATTTAAATGGACAAACACAGATGTCATTTGAGTCCAGTCATATTAGACTGTTTTAGAGCGTGGGAGTACATGTAAGTGAAGACAGACTACTACTCATTACATTGATATTTATATCTCATTCTTAAATTCGTCACTAAGTTTTATAATAGTGGGGAAAAACTGATGCCATGCTTAAGTGTTTTGTTTGTTTTTGGAAAAATGCACGTTTTAACTGCATATTACGATAGTAAGAAATCTTGTGGCTTATTTCGTTAGAAGTGGGCCTCGTGCTACATATATCGTTTTACATGTAATACATTAAATATATTACATTTTAATTGACAAATTGCGATTTCAGACCTCATCGCCTAACGCCATCAAAATGTATGCTCTTGCCATGATATTGTGTTACACGAAATATAATGAGAAGAGTCCTTGTAACTATGATTCATTGGCAGTCATGGTCCTATAAATGCAGTTTCTTTTTCTAGTATTTGTTCATGGAGACAGTGGAGATATAGTTACAGTACGATATAGGGAAACTGTGTGTTGTGTTTTCTTTATTTAGATAATTGCGTTGTCTAGGATAAGTATCCTACATAACGGAATACCTGTATGCTGAATACAATAGGAAATGTTAGCTTTGTGATCATCGTTCCACATATTTAGGGTACCGTACTGATAAGGTATTATACGTTATATCATTTGGCATTAAAAACATATATCGGGCAGCCTATCGCACTCGCCTTTCATGTAGGCGTCCGGGGTTCGATTCTCGGAACGCTTCCGTCCGGGCCAACAAGAGTGACTTATTTGACATACTTGTTTCACAAAGTTGTCGGCTGAAAGGCGGAAACGCAGTGATACTGGACTTAAAACCCAATAAATAAATAAATAAATAATAAAAAAAGTTTCGCAATTGTTGTAAAATTAATTAAGTTTTTTAAATATAAATCTCGCTACTTGGGTCGCGGAGAAGCTTTTGTAAGACTACATTCTGACCACGCTGTTTTGGGACAACAATAATTTCTGTTTTTATAAAATGATTTTTTCAGACTTCCTGATTGGCTGGAATGATTCTATGTGATTCTAAATAAAAAGTCATGTGGACCGGCTGCGCTCTCTGACTTCGATCGATATATGGTTTTATCGACCTAAGAAATAATCAACGTCAGGCTTCGTCATCGGTCGATATTTTTCCGAGGTTGACAAAACAATGTATTAACCTCGTCAAATGCTACAATCGTGCTATTGGTGGTGACATGACAGTAAAATGATATTGCCCCTGGGTCTTGCTACGCAAGTTAGTTTAAAACGGAGCTCTCACTATATAGTGGATCAAGTATTCTTTTTGTATTGATTTTGATAATTTGTCAGCATGGACTCACTAAAACACACGCTACACAGCCAAATTTCATATCGTTATTTCAACGTTAAAAATAACGTTATTTTTTTAAACTACGTTATAATAATATTATGACTTTTCAACGTTAAAACTTAAAATCACGTTAACGTTAAAATCATGTCAAATTACAAGGTTATTCTGATGTGAAATATTTTTAACATTTATTTCAATCTTAAATTTTAGCATTATTTCAACGTTTAAATCTTTTAATGTGATTTCAACATTAAATTTATTTTTAGTTATGCGTGCATGCTCGTTTCACGTGAGTTTAATGTAAAACAATTAACGTTAAATAACATTTCTTAATCTTATGAAAGAATGGCAGTGTAAAATGATATATATTGTCAAAATAATCATTATATCTGTGATAAATAATATCATTTTAAAACAGACAGATTATATGATAATAATGTTTAACTTTATTCAAATGCCACATAACATTAAGATATGTTATATATTAGTGGTTATCTCGATTTAGGCTTGTTAACTGAGATTAATATTTTTAGATTTTGATCAACAGAAACATTTAATGCTAAGTTTTCGGTTTTTCACTATTTTTTCCTCATATATACCGACAATTACAATATGTTTCACATACATTCACAATTAGTCTTAAACCTTACAGACCACACCGAGTCTGAAAACTCACAGACAACACTGAGTCTTACAACTCGCAAGCAACATTATGTCTTAAAATTCGTAGACAACATTGTGTCTTCAAACTCGCAAGCAACATTGAGTCTGAAAACTCGCAAGCAACATTGAGTCTTAAAACTCGCAGACAATATTGAGTCTCAAAACTCGCAAACAACACTGGTTCTTAAAACTAGCAGACAACATTGCGTCTTAAAACTTACAGACAATATTAAGTCTTAAAACTCGCATGCAACCTTGAGTCTTAAAATTCGCAGACATCAAAATTAATTTTACATATTTTGTTTAAGGAAACATTCATGTTGGTTATTATTTACCTCATCATCCGGGTGAAAAAAATAGAAAAATGAAATATGACTGAACCCAGGTATGTGTGTGTGTGCATGTGTGTATTTGTGTGTGTGTGTATTTGTGTGTGTGTGTATTTGTGTGTGTGTGTCTGTGTTTGCGTGTGTGTATTTGTATGTGTGCATGCGTGCGTGTGTGTTTGTGTGTGTATTTGTGTGTGCGTGTGCGCGCGAATGTGCGTGTGTGTGCATGCGTGTGCGTGTTTGCATGTGTTTGTGCGTGCGAGAGTTCGTGTGTTTGCGCGCGCGCGCGCGTGTGTGTGTGAGACAACAACTCACACGTTCTGCCCAGTAGCCATACGTGTATTTATCAGCTGTGTGCGTGTTACATGTAAAATACCTATCTCAGGGTTCCCCCAAATGTGTCCCTCTCTCCGTTTGAAGATTTAAAGTGAACGACAAAGTTCTATTGACAGTGTGTAGATTTCTTTCATCTAATAAAACTCTGGTCTATATATGAGTAAGTAAACTACAGGTAGATATGTGACGTCACCGTCGTATCAAGGCCGTAGGCAGTTATGATTTCTTATCACCTGTAGTGTATTGGGCCAAGGTGCGGGTGTAGGTGCGAACACAGGTATAGGGCAGTAACAGGACAGGTATGAAACAGGTGTGTCAAACACGTTGGATACGTATGCATTGAAATGTTGCGTGCACATCCTGAATACTTGTCAGATTAAAATCTCCCTGCGCTAGAAATTCTAGGGCTTCGAACAGTTAGTAGGAATTTTGATCAAATCTGATAAGTTTTCTCGGTCTTATATCATAAACTTTATTATATACAATATTTTCTATGTTACAAACTATGTTAGTATTGTGTAACCCTGGTAAACATTAGCATAACTCTTAAAAATCGTCGTATTCTTTACTGTTGTTTTATTGACTATAAAAAAAGCTTTTGATTTTGTCAGTCGTCAAAATCTTTGGTATAAAATGATTAACGAAGGGATAGAGAGGTAATTTCTGTAAATTGTAAGCCGTCTGTATGACAACGTAAGATGTTGTGTAAAACACAATGGTATAACTGATTTCTTCAAATGTGACTGTGGGTTTTTTCAGGGGGAAGTGTTGTCTTCCCTCTTATTCACTTTGTTTATTGATGATTTAGAAAATGATTTCATGAAAAAATAGTTGTTCATTGATAGAAATCCAAGCTATTAAACATTTTTTTCTTATGTATGCAGTTGACATTATTTTATCTGAAACACCAGATGACTTACAGAAAATGTTATATTCATCAGAAGATTATAGTAGAACTTGGAGTTGAAATACAAGTAAGACAAAAATAGTCCTCTTTAGGAATAGTTTTACGATAATGAGGACATTGAAACAGCTGATGAAGTCAATTACTTTGGACTTACTTTAAATTTTAATGGAAAATTTAAAAAACCTCAAAATAAACTTGCAGAGCAAGGACGAAAAGCATTGTACACAGTAAATTATGTTTGTAGATTGAATGTTTTTAATATTGAATCTCGTCTTGCTGTTTTCGACACTTATGTAAATAGTATTTAATGTATGGTTCTGAAATCTGGGGTTATCAAAGAACGCCATATCGCATTTCTTAGGTCATTACTAGGACTAAGAAAATGTTGTTTTTATACAATGAGTTAGGAAGATTTCCCTCAGAAATACCCAGAACAGTCAGAATTTTCAAATATTGGCTAAAGCTAAAATTTTCTAATAATTGTGTACTCAAACCGTGTTATGTTGATGTGGTGAAAAACAATGACCCTTGGATCCTTAATTTAAAACGTGACCTTTCAACTGTCGGCCTTGGATACATGTTTGAAGATATCAATAACAGTTCTGCTAAATGTCATAGTATTGTTTATAAACAGCGCTTATTTGATAATTTTCAACAGCGATGTCTTATGAAAGTTAATTCTTCATCCAAAAGGAATCTATACCAACATCTGGTTGAAAGTATCAAACTCCAGTCATATCTACATAAATCAGTTAATCTTGATTTTCAGAAACTTATTTCTAAGATCCGTTTATCTGTACATGATTTATCAGTTGAACGTGGACGATACAGAGACGTAACGAGGGAAGAAAGTGAATTTTATGTAATGATAACGATACAGAAGACGAATATAATTTTATTATTAAATGTCAGTGTTGTAAGATATTCGTGTTTAAAAATAATCCTCGTGGTTTCCTCCAAAAATATTATACCAGCATTATGAATGATGATATAGAGTGCATGATGGTAAGATTGTGTCTTTGTCCTTATAACTATTATTTATCTTACGTACGGAAATATATTGCATTGGGAAACAAAACAAAACAAAACTTAAAAAAAAAAAAAAACAGCAATAT